CGCTAGCAAAGGAGGCGACAAAAGCTAGATCCTAGCTCTAGTAGGACGAGTCTAGCTGTAATAGGCACACGAATAAAACAGCTAGGCGAGCGAGAGTGGCTCAGCTATCTAGAACAATATAGGAGGAAGGCTATTGCCCTCAACTCTACTACTTATGCTGCAAGGTATAAGTGGAAGACTAGGAAGCAGATTGCCACTCCTCCTCTTACTAGTAGAGAAGTCTCTAGCGCCTTCTTTCAACTTAAGCTAGGCCACTGTTACCTAAGAGACTTTCTCTTTACGCGAGACAAAGTAGACTCTAAAGTTTGCCCCTGCAACTATAGAGCTACTCAAGATCCTACCCATATCCTCCTTAGCTGTACGCTATATAAGGAGGCTAGGATAAAGATGCAGGAGGCGAGCAAGGACCCCCTATCGCTAGCCTTCCTGCTAAACACGAGCGTAGGCATACAGGCTACTATTGCCTTTATTGAAGAAACTAGGGCTGCAACACAGGCCTGGCACAAAGGAAACCTCGAGAACTAGGGCAACACCTATACTAGGTGGCCTCGCCCTACACCCACCCTACCTCTCTCTTTTACCCGCAAGACCCCCTTCTACCTCCCTCTAGACTAGGCTACGAGCCTCACCTCGATTTAGATAGCCCCCTCCCCCACCTACACCAAAGTGATAGCACTACGTAGATACTTGCGGGCCTAGCCTGCACGTCTTATATAGCCCACCGGCTGAGACAGGACGTAAAACCAAAATAATAATAATAATACAGCAGATCTGCTAGTTTTTCGGTGAGACTAACACATTATCGTGTGTGATTACAAAGTAACTATAATATCACTGTAAAACAGAGCTCCAACCCAACAGCCCCTCTGTTATCTGTCTTAATTTGTGCAAGCCTAGCTCCCAGACTACCCGCTACACACTAACCCAAAGTAGGCCAAAAACGGAAAGACGAGGAAAAGATCATTACATTCGACAAGAACGAAGATGACCTCCCGCTGATGGTTGTAGTAAAATCCTCGAATGAAGAAGTCGAGCTCACCTCCGTTCACAAGTTTGTACTACTAGAGCAAACCGACGGTTTATGCACTCCCTACAATATCCATTCAAAGGAAGTCTATCACCTCAGTCTCTATAGGGACATGACAACGAGCAACTGTAAAAGGCTTGCTGCGTGGAACCAGCTGGCATGCCAATACGCATACCAAGCACACAAGAAACCAGAGACTGGGAAAACCAAGAGATTGCATTCTGCCCGAGATATGAAGAAGGCCGTGCTTCCACCAAACACGCATTCTGAAAATGAGTCTGATGCAACCTCCACCGAGGACATGTCAGAGAACAACACTTCATATCCCTCAGAGATGGCGGATGTCCCTAGTGACATCAAAAAAGTCTCCACATTCGTCCCACTCGAGAACAAGGAGTTACAGGCATTCGCAGATGCTGCCAAGAAAGAAAACGAACCATTCACGCAAGCACAAGCAAACGCCATGATCAAGGAAGCCCAAGTAGCATGGTCCAATGCCCAGCATCTCAACGGCCACCATGTCCACCTGCTGTCTCAGGGAATGCGCGAAGCCGGGCTCACCTCAGTACATGCTCACCTCAAGGCATTTGTGCTGGAAGGAAGCTACCAGCTTACCAAGATATCTGGCCACGAAAACGTCACTGTCGAGAAGCTGAGTGCAATTGCATTGCAGGCTGAGGAGACTGTGCAGCGCGTTCTGAGCTACTTCGAATGAACATGGGCGAATACCAAGAGGAAGATCGTCATAGCTGATATCAAGGAAAAGTTGAGGTTGTCAAGACTGACAATGGCTTCCATTGAGATGATGGAAATGGCAACAGGTAAGCCCATGTTACCAGTTTCCAGGATGTTGGGGAAAGTACTGACTTGGTAGAGATTTCTAATATCTTTTACTGCTTTTATGATACAGCAGGACTGGTAATCACTGCGTCCCGTTACGAGGAATCACATTCAGGCCATATGGCCAGGAACGTTGTGGGTTTTCTTGGGAAAGCAGGAATCTACGAACGACAAAAGACGGAGCGCGATGGCGAGAGAGAAAAAAAAGAAGCTATAAAGGAACTGGGTCTTTTCTCTACTGAGAATTCGATACTGTTTATACACATGCTTGCTAGTACATCTGCCCTTCCCTTCTTCCGATATATGTGACCAATGTAATGTTTCTTTGGTGTTACACAGCCTTCATCCACTACTACCCTGAAATCTCATGTTACATATCGGAAGTCCGTTTATGAGATAATACTGGAATGATGTCGATAGACACGGTCATGTGCGACATCGGAAATGTGCCTTTACAATAATGCTTTATACCTACTATTCGTAGTATACTACGAACCGGGCTGGTAAAATGTCGAGGTCGTTGCGGAAAACGGTGCCAATCATCACGACCAGTCGGATCCTGGGACGATAGGGCTTGGATACTACAGTGAGTGGTCTATTGTATCTTGGGCGTCTCGAGGCGCTATTTCGCATCGCAACTTTAGATACGGCGGGGTGGGGGAGCGAGCTTTGTCTGGAACAAGTAGTTACACTTAGTATACTTAGTAGATACATACTGCTATCGCCTCGTCCCTATAATCGTATTCAGCACTACGCAGTAGCCCGGTCTTCTCATCCCTTGTCGTCCGCTCTCAGCCCCATCCCTAAACGTTTGCAGCTCCAGCTGAAATCCCACTAGCTCGACGCCCATAAAGGGGAGAGAGGGGCTGATAGCGCGGACCAAAAAGTCGATTAGAAGCGCCGTAGAATCCCGCGCGGCGAAAACGGCGCGACTAAGCAGCCACCATGATTGGACCACCTATCACTCGAAGGAATGTCAGCGGTCAGCCCTGTCAATCATCCTCTTGCGTCCCGCTAACAATGTTAGTCCAGGGCGCCGCGCATATGCAGGCGCGAAAGCAGCAGCCCAAAAGGTTCGTATTAGCGTCGTATAGAAATGATTAAGCTCAGCGATCCCGCTTGAATGAAATCAAATAATAATATAAACAAAAGCTGACGCATCCCGCGTGTGCGTTGTATCCTTTTGTTCATCTTCAGTCCCCTCGTTCAAGTTTCCTCCTTCCTTTCGACCATGTTGGCGCAGCCCCCGCAGCTATCCAGAGCGCTGACTTACTACGCGTTAGCAGCGCTCTTTACCATAGGGATCGTGTACCATTTTCTCTCGCTGCAGGATAGCTTCATCGCACGTGTACCAGATCTTCCGGCAGATGTCCAGCAGGCCGAAATCCCAAAACTCATCTGGTACAAATTGGGTCCGAATGGACTCTCTGACGAAGCGCGCGCCTGGACAGACTCCTGCGTCAAGAACAACACAGGCTACAAAGCGCACTTCTTAACGGACGAAGGCAGCGACACGTATGTCCGGAAGACATTCGCTTTCCGCCCAGACATCGTAGATACCTACCTCGCTCTCCCCATCCCCATTTTCAAAGCCGATCTCCTGCGCTACCTGCTGCTCTGGGACCAAGGCGGCATCTGGTCCGACCTCGACGTTTCCTGCGAAGATATCCCCATCGACGACTGGGTCCCCGCCTCGTACAAGAACTCCGCCGCCATAGTCGTAGGTTGGGAATTCGACCAAGGCTGGCCGGGCAAATACGTGCGGCAATTCGCGAGTTGGACGATAATGTCGAAGCCGCGCTCGCCGCACATGATGCAAGTCGTCGACGATATCCTCGAGACGCTGCGGGTGGAAACAACGGAACACGGTATTGGGGTTCAGAACGTTACGCTGGAGATTATGGGGGATGTGGTGGATTTCACCGGCCCCCGCCGCTTGACGCGGAGTTTGTTTAAGAGTCTGGAGAAGCAGATGAATCGAACGCTTGATGTGAGTGAGTTCCATGAGATACTGCAGCCGAGGCTGGTGGGGGATGTGTTGATTATGCCGGGGCAGTCGTTTGCGGCTTCTTCGAATACGTATACGGTGGAGCAGCAGAAGGATTTGCCGCCGCAGTTGGTGGAACATCATTATGCGGGGAGTTGGAAGAATGACAAGGGTGGTGAATAGAAGGAAATGGGGTGATTGAGTTGAAAGAATGGTGGCAGTTAGACTTGGACACAAGTCAGTGCCAGTGGCCGGACATGCGCTGGGTGGTCCTATACATCAGGCAGCGGAATCCGCGCCTGAACATCCACATTGCTGTCGGGAGCGAGGTAGCTGCGACGAGCCCTATCTCCATGCGGAGGTGAACTCTACGAGATATGTGGACGAGACCAGGCAAGATGAAACGAACAGGTTGAGGAAAGAGGACGCGCGATGCAATATTTAGCGCTAAAGACGGATGGGACCTCAACCTGCATGACGAGTCACACGAAAAGCAAACCTCCGGCCGATGAGAAACTCGGTTACACAGGGTCCAGAAATTCTTGATCTAGTCCAGTAGCCTCGAGAACAGACATGATGGAACGACGAGATGGATCCAATGACCAGGGGTATCAAGGTTTACATTGCTACTTTTGCCATTACAAGAGAGTATCAAATATCATAAGTCATCTATCAAGAATCAAGGCTTCCCTAGTCCCCTCTTATAGAGGCAGAGATATAGCCCTCCGCGCCTGACTCACCTCACTCTGCTTATGCCGGGTACTACAAACGCACTTGCACTGAGGACATACCTCGCCGTCCACCCTATTCAGGCGATCCCAAGTCTTGAGTACCACCATGTCAGCATGTGCCTTGACCTCGACCTCTACCTCGTCTTTCTCTTCCACCAATCGCTCTTTGAACTCGACCAGCTTCTCGTTGCACTCGTCATTGAAGGCAGTGAGGTGGTCTTCTTTGAGGGCGGCAAAGTCAAGCCGAGTGTCAGCGAGATGATCCTCGAACTCTGCGTTAGCTGAGTTGTGAATTTCAGAGGCTTGATGCGAGGCTTGATCGAGCGCATCAGCAAGTATTCTTTGGAGATGGGTCTCGGTGTAGGCGCTTATGACAGATTTGACGACCGTCGAAGGGGTGGGTTTTTGACTCGGGATTGGACGATGCTTTATGGGCGTGTTCGCGAGCTGGCTGGAATGTCGTGTCGGTGATAGGGATGGCGACGGCGAGGAGCCAGCGAGTATTCCTGGAAGAAGGTCTTGCAGAATGGTGGGAAATTGTGCGCGCATCAGATCTGGGAGTACTTTCTCAACGGCGGACGTGACAAGATCTTGGAAAATGTCCACTTGCACAGTGGCAGTGGACGAGGCTGTGGATTTTGCGCTCAGAGGTGATGCGGGAGAGGCGCGTTCTTTTGAAGAGCGCGGATATGTATGGTCTTGGAGCAGACGCTTCGGTAAAGGCGAGTCGGGTGTCAAGCTGGTGCGAGCTGTGGATTGTGTATTAGCAATATGTCAATACTTTGTCTGACTAAAAGACTTACCATTTCGCGAGCGCTTGCCCGACACACGCGCATACGGAGGCGGGGCATCATCTACTGCTTCCTCAATAGGAGGAGGGGCTCCAACTACCGCGTTCTCGATGGAAGGCAAGGCTTCAGGCTCGGTATCCTTGATACAATTGAGAATTGACCAGTCTGCTTGATGATACAAACGGGTAAACTGAGGAATGGCTGGAACTCCAGTGGGCTGGCGAGAGCCCTCGATGACGCCTTGAAGCCGGGCGAGGTTACTCTTCTCAAGCCAGTTGATGTCAAACAAGATGCGCACTTCTGTCGCCCTAGCCAGCGTCAAAAGCTCGTGGAATCCGGTATGAAGGCCGAGCCCCCTCTTGCCTAAAGTGTGGGGATACCACACAGAACAGGGCGCTTTGAGCGTCAGCGACAGCATTCGGGGCCGAGGTTTCCCATGTCGCGCAATGTCATGCAAAGATGTACCAGGGAGAGCGATATCAACATTTCCAAGTGACATCTTCCCAGGGATAAGATTGTCACCTTCATAGCGAAGGGTTAAGAGCTGCGGATCATCAACGCCATGGATTGATACAGAGTGTCCGAGAGACAGGGCAAACTGGTCGTCCGAGTGTAGGATCTTTAGAGAACACGGCCATAACACGGATTCATCATTTACAGGATAGGCCAAGGCGGGGACGCCTTGGTTGCGAACGAGGCTGAGAACCATTTTTCATTAGTTCTTTCTACAGAAAATGTATACTTAACACTAAATGCCCCTTTGCAATGCAGCAGCAAAGGAAACCCGCCCGCCCGGGCTTTCGCGTTTGGTCGCGCAGAGCAGCCCTGACTCTGTCGCAGCAGCAGCAAGAAGACGCGCCAAATCGTGCCCCACTAAGCCCGCAGTATGTACTACCTGTGCCTTGCTTGAGTATCGCCCCTCAGATGCGCGAGTCGGAACCGGGTAGACCGCGAAGCCGACTCGCTGTGTCAAAGGCCTTGCAATAAGGATGGCGCACTGGGGCAAGACGACAGAGAGGTCGATATGACGGTTTAGTAGCTTACGATAGGCGGTAATCGCGTGCGCGTGCGACGAGGTGGAATTTGGAGAATGGATGCGAATCGAGGTCGGAGTTGTAGAGGTGGAGATGTGATGGGGAGGGAAGTGGGGAGCAATGGACGAGGTTGGGTTGGTATTTAGTACTGGGCGGTCCTCGTCGCGCAGGGCTTGGCATTGCGCTAAGCAGCAACACCATCGACTACCATTCACTCTTGAGTCCCACAGGTGAAACTACCTGGTGAATACCTCTTTCAGTGGTTTTTCCGATTATGAAGGTTTTTCCACTAGAATTGCAAACAGGGCTGTAGCGGGTGGCGAGAATTCGCAGCCGACGGTTCTCATGATTGTGGAAGTGGAGGGAAGTTTGGTGGTTACAACAGTCGACTTGAGCAAACCCGAAACGAAGCGAGGGCACGCAGTCTTCAACATTGTGTGGATTAATTCAACACGGAGTGAGCGTGATATGATGTAGTACATATGCATATGACAACTTGATTCTAGAGTTTATTAAGCAAAATAAGCTGTGCTTACAGAAGATGCAAAGTATGACGGAAGCTTGGGGACTGCTATGGATTTTTTTGGTCCAAACCCACGATACGCATGTGCATGTGCTATATTCCTTTGACAGATCAACAGTAGTCACCTTTCTGCGAACTCCTTGAGTAAAAATTACTTACCTGCTTAGCCGTAAAGCTCAGTTGCAACCCACACTGTGTGCGAATTCTTGCCTTGAGCCATTGCCCATATGAGAATTCGAAGTAGGAATAAGCATTGAATTAAATATCACATAGCCCTACGCCATTCGTTCACCATTACCAGTGTGATGCCATTATAATTTCATCCACATGGTTGACCTTGATTAAGTATATTCTACCGTCCCGCATTGTTCGTTCACACTGATTCCAGCTGAAAAAAACTACCAACGTGGTCAATCTAACTAAGACCCCAAGAGCCTTCAATTTGTGCACGCACTTGAATCTAGTGAGCAGTAGCAATAAACATTCAGCACTAAGAGGACAATCCTCGCAGGACCATAATGTCCTAGAATCTGTCCTTAGAATCCATAGTGACAGTTACAATCACGCCCTTAGTCATGCCTGGTCTCTATCTTCATGATTAGTACTACCGGTCAAATGTCTACATGTGCTGATGGAACTTGAGCAGTATTTTAACAAAGAAAAAAAAATGGGTAACTAACTAACGTATGTGTGGATGTTGTAACTTCCACTAGCTCGTAGTACGCAACAGAGTCTTACGTTTGGGTATGTGTGTCTTTTTTTCTTCTTCTTTTCCTTTATTGTTGTCGTTGGTTGGATCTTTTTTTTTGGAAAAGTCAACTGATTGCGTTATCTAAAGAGCCACAGCGATTACCTCCCTACTAGGCGTCACGGCGTACAGGCGAGCCGATGGAGGCTAGACGCTTCACCTATTCATTCTGCCAAACCATAGCCTATTGATTAATAGTACCGATAGTGAGTCACCCTCCTATTTCCTTCAGCCCTCATGGAAGTGACTGTAGCTGATTTATTTTCTTCTCTTCTACGATAGGAATCTTCATGTGGTGGTCGGTCGTTGAACACCTCGGGCACAGAGCATCGACGTTCTTCCACTTCCTATCTTGACGATTATTTTGTGGAAATTCGCAATGGTCTGGTAGCCAACTCTCTATTCCATAGGACGAGTATGTTGTCTTTTTAGCGTTAGCTACACAAAAGTATATTCCAAACACGACTGCCCAGCAGTTTAGGCTCAGGTTTCACTAGGTAGTGCAACGAGTCCTTCGGTAGATGTATGGAGGTATGGAGGTATGTAGGTTGGGTGAGTGGGTAGCGTGTAGTAAGAGAGGAGTGGATTGACGCGTTACGTGCCGCGATATTGAATGTTTGAGCACTAAATTGGAGTATTTGGTGCTGGATTGACTTTTTTTTACTGCAACATGACAGTCAAATAATATCAAGTCTATGATTATTCTATCTATCCTCGGTCTTATTTCCTGTTCTCTATTCACAATTTCCCGACTCACAGTCATAACCCTCAGTAGTATCATATTTTGTTATTTCCATTATTACCATCACGATTGTGATTATTGTCGACCATCCACCTCCTCCAAGGATAACAACAAGTGAGTAATACGACCGGTAGGCACATGAACCCATAAGTCGGACGCTTAAATTACCCGATAACCTTATTTGTGGGGGGAATGTTGGTTTGCATAAAAAATGGGTTCTATATATTAGCGGAAGGCGGGAAAGTGGGCAGATTATTATGATTTTTTTCTGCTTTGGGGTGGATGTGAGATTTTGGCGGGGATGGGAGGGTAGGGGTAGGGGAGCGGAGGGACATGGGGGGAAATGAGTTTAGGTGGAAAAGGGGTTGAAGAGGGAAAAAAAGAGAAAGGTGAGAAGTTGAATGGACAAATTACAGCTGGGTTGATGATAAGATTTGGATGGAAGAAAAGGTGGTGTGAGTTGTGGAAATTGTAGTTGTGTCGTCAGAAATGTGCATGCTGGTTAGGATGTGACGTTGTCACGGGTTGTTACCAGGGGTCATTACTACGAGCTATCGAGTTGTTACTGAGTTGAAAACAACAGTTGATCAAACCTTTCTACTTTCTTTAACCCAAGTATGTTACTGAGCCAAGTCATTGAACCAAGTAGACACAAGGAGCTCTTGAGAATCTTCGCGGCTACCTGCAGTGCATATATACTTGCGAAGCAACCCGCAGAATAAGAAAAAGTAAGCACCTTGAAGACAAAAAGCATTTTGCAAAAGCACCGCCGACAAACGTCGGAAGTCGGATGTACGTCACGTCAACGGTTCAGACCGTTGTTTCACGTCAGTGCCCGTCGCATTGCGTCAACGCGAGCAGAGTCAAAAACGAAGCATACTTTGGCGTGTGGTGAACACGGACGAGATGCGAAACAAGCGTTGGACGCAGCGGGAGTGCGGCGGACTCTAGTAGCTATCGATAGCGCGGCGCCAGGTCTAGAATCGAGATACTAGTGACTACTCTACATAGTACGCAGGTGTAGAAGACGAAACTTTGGTCAGAGCCAATTGGATGGCATGGTGTGGTGGGATGGTAAGGCAGGATGGATGCATAATAGTGACAGTACTGCAGCTGTCTGTGACAGTTTGATCAAAGACGTCTTGGCCGACCAATGGCGGCGTTGACAAGTGACGTCTTTGAGAGCGGAAGAGCGTCGCAGAAATGTAGGCCGCTCAATATCGTGATGGCCTAATGTTTCGTTTCAAGCGAGTCTCACGCCTCTGTTTCGAAAGGCGGGGCGAACCGCTGTTGCAGATTTGGTAGACTAGTGACAAGTTTGATAAGAAGGAAAGGCCTGGCATGGGGGTTTTGATGCAGTCGAGGGTATAGTACGTCAGCGGGTGAATATTATGAGTAAGGGTGTGCGGGGTAAGGAGAGTAAGAGAAGGAAAGAAGGAAAGAAGGAGAGAAGGAAAGAGAAGGAGGGGTAAGTGTTTGACCGTGGCAGTTTGGGGGTTTTGGGGTTTGGGAGGGGGGAAGGGACGTTGGGCCTTGGCTTGAGCGTTTTCCAGAACAACATGAGCACCAAAATAGCATAGCTACTCAATGCTGTTGTTTAGCGACGTGGGGCAACAACAGCGACGATGGGCAGGCTAGAATATCGAAATGCTCGTGTTGCTCATCTGCAATATTGCCTCATTTATTTCCCACAGGTCGGGAGCGGGACAAGAGAGCATAGCGTCATGGTGGGCCAGCCAGTGAGGAGGAGCTTGGTTGGAGACAGCGACCGGAAACGGAGTGGAAACTGGGCGCGGTGGCCCTCATTTCCGAGCAATGGGGGAGAGAGTTGGCGGAGAGTCGAGAACCGGCTGCGCATTGGGAGGGAAGGAAGGCAGGGACAGCGGGGACAGCAAGGGACAGGCTGGACCCGGCAAATGGCAGCCTGATCCCTAGGGCATCGCAAACGGGTTGTGGGTAGGGCAATAGGGGAAGCCGAGCCATGTGCAACAGGCTGAGACTGGCATCCACAGTTGTCCGTGGCTGTGTGTAATGCGGCGACGGGCTTGTGTCAGAGTAGTAGGCATCGCGGTGGGCACGAGGGCCGGGGGCAGAGAGTCTATGTACTACTACTACTACTACTACTACTACTACTGTATGTTTGTGTGTAGCCGTAGTACTCTACATACGAGTAGTAGTAGTGGTAAGTGTCCACGGACTGTGGCTAGGGCGGGCGCGCCGTTGCTGCACCATAGCGCATGACGGCGCGGCGCAAATGGCGACGGATGCAGCAGCAGCGCTGGATTGCGCGGCGTCGACTCATGCTAGCAGAGAGTAAATCGACATTTGACTTCTTTTGTGCAGACTTGTGAAGTCGCGGTGACTGTATGAAGATGTGCGCCCAGGTCGCGCGTCGCACCATTCCCACGCTTGCACAAACCCGTCAGCCCGGCGATGCACTGCTGGCCTGTTCGCCGGGCCACACGACAATGCCTACTCCTAGTGACGAGCACGTCCTCGTCGAGCATCGCATCGCTATTGCCGGCGACAGCACCGTGGCGCAGCACCCGTGGCCAGAGCACTGCTGTGGATGTGGACGTGGATGTGGACGTGGATGTGGATGTGGATGTGGTGGATGCGTGCTGCTGGCAGGCAAATTGGACAATGGGCCGAATTGCCACCATGTGCGGATAGTCGAGCTGCATGCCCAAGTAAGTACACACAAAGAACGTACGATATACATGGACGGTATGTGCGTAGATGCAATGGACGAATAATACACTCATACTTGGTTAAATGGTGACATAGGGATATAGGTAGACGCCAGTGCATGGCCGGCAAGGAGGATCTGCGCCTGGCCGGCATTCGATTCTAAGCTGGCGGCATGAAACAGCAGGGCTAGGGGGCCGCGGCGAGCAAGTAAAAAAAGAAGGACAGGAGAGAAAAAAAAGAGGAGCGCTGGACGCTGGACGCTGGACGCCGTACTTGGACGGATTCGAATGCGACAGGGCAAAGACGGTGTGGACAGCCCTCTCGGCTCTCGGCGCCCCAGCGGCTGCCACGCTCGACGTTGGGCGTGGGGCGCTGTGAGTGGCTGGGTGCGAGCCGCCCCTGCCTTTTTGCTCGCAGGCATGCAGGCACCGTCGCCCGCTACTGGCCCCTGCCACCGCTTGTTCCTGAACGAAATTAACAGCCGCCAGGGGCAGGGCAAGGGCAAGGGTAAGTGCAAGGGCACGTCCATCACCGACCCATAGCACCCACTGCTATGCTTGGCCCCCGGCCTCCACCCACCACCCACTGCCCGCGACCTTCATATACCGCCCCTCCCTCCGCTCCTCGATTGCTTTTTTCTTCTTCTCTACCCCAAAGGCACCAGTCTTCTACACTCGCTACCCAATTGTCTTCGGACGTCACATTCTTTGAACCATCCAGTCACTCTTTCCTGGATTTCAATCTCTATTCTTCGCCTGCTAATCGGTTCCCCGACCCGTCTCTTCGTCTTATCCATACCCAATTCATTGTTTAAGAGCAAGGAACTTTTAGAATACCGCAATCATGATGAAGCTTACCGTCGCTTTCTTGGCCGCCCTCGCCGCTGCCGACGCTGCCGAGGCCCGCAGCCAGCGCTTTGCCCGCCGCCAGCAATACGGCTCCTACGGATCCTACCCCTCTGTTCCTCAGAACCAGGCTGGTTACAACGCCACCACCCCTGCCTCCAGCTCCCCGGTCCCCGTTGTCCCTGAGGCTGCTACCTCCTCCGCCCCCGCCGGCGGTGACTACGGCGCTGGTTACCCTGCTGCCACTCCCACCCCCGCTGTCCCCGAGGCTGCCTCCTCCAGCCCAGCTGGTGGTGAGTACGGTGCTGGCAAGCCTTCCACCCCAGCTGTCCCTGAGGCTGCCACCAGCTCCGCTCCTGCTGCTTCTTACCCCGCTGGTGGTGAGTACGGTGCCGGCAAGCCTTCCACCCCCGCTGTTCCCGAGGCTGCCACCAGCTCTGCTCCTGCTGCCACCTACCCCGCTGGTGGTAACTATGGCTCTGGCAAGCCTTCCACTCCCGTAGTCCCAGAGGCCGCTACCTCCTCCACCCCCGCTGCCTCCTACCCCGCTGGTGGCAACTACGGAACTGGCAAGCCCTCCGTCCCTGTTGTGCCAGAGGCCGCCTCCAGCACTGGCTACCCCATGTACCCCACCGGAACCGGCTCTTACCCAGCCTCTTCCACCCCCGTCAGCGACATGGTCACCAGCACCATCTACAGCACCCAGATCTTCACCAAGACTGCCTGCCCTTCCACCGTCACTGACTGCCCTGCCAAGTCCACTTCGCTCGTCACCAGCGTTGTCCCCGTTGGCACCACCGTCTGCCCCCAGAGCGAGGTTCCCCAGGCCACTCCTACTGCTGTCACCAGCACCTACCCCGTCTCTGAGGTGACCTCCGTCTACACCGAGACACTCGTCTACACCATCGGTGTCGGCACCACTGCCCGTCCCGTCACCACCGAGATCACCACCACCTCCACCTCCACCCAGTACAGCACCGTTGTTGTCACTGTTCCTGGCTCCAAGCCCACTCCTGAGGTTCCTTCTGACCAGACCAAGCCCTCTGGCCCAGCCGGTGGTGAGGGTTACCCTACTGGCCCAGCTGGCGGTAACGGCTACCCCACTGGCCCAGCTGGCGGTGACAAGGACATGACCAGCACCATCAGCTCCACCTCCACCTCCACCAAGTACATCACCGTCAAGCCCACTCCCTCTGGCGATGTCCCAGTCGGCTCTGACTCCTACCCCACTGGCCCTGCCGGTGGTGCTGGTGCTAAGCCTTCTCCTTCCACCCCTGCCGGTGAGGAGGGTGAGGACTGCGCTCCCGTCACCGTCACCGTAACTGCCAAGGAGACCATCACTGTTACCGCCGGTGGTAACTACCCCGTCGCTACCCCCGACTCCGAGGAGCCCAGCTACCCTGCCAGCACTCCTCTTGTCCCCGCTGACAAGACCTCTGGCATGCCTCCTCACCCCACTGCTCCTTACGGAAACGGCACCATGCCCTACGTCCCCGTTGGCACTGGCCCCGCTCCCGTCCCCAGCAGCGCCACCGCTTCTCTCCCCAGCTTCTCTTTCGTCTCTGAGAACTCCAAGCCCACTCCCAGTGCCCCCGCCGCTGCCTCTTCCGCCCCCGCCTACCCCGTCGGTGGTAACTACGGTGCTCAGCCCTCTCCTTCCGTCCCTGCTGCCGCTGAGTCCTCGCCTGCCTACCCTGTAGGCGGTAACTACGGTGCCGGCAAGCCTTCCACCCCCGTTGTCCCTGAGGCCAGCGCTACCCCCAGCCCTTCTGCCCCCGCTGGTGGTGAGTACCCCGCTGGTGGCGAGTACGGTGCCGGCAAGCCCTCCACCCCCGTTGTCCCTGAGGCCGCTACCTCCTCCACCCCCGCTGGTGGCGAGTACGGTGCTGGCTACCCTGCTGCCACCCCCACCCCCGCTGTCCCTGAGCCAGCCACCTCCAGCCCTGCTGGCGGCAACTACGGAAGCGGTAGCTACGGTACCTACTAAGCGCTGACTCTCTCATCGTAGAGTAGGCTCGCGTTTTGTTTGCATCGCATGTGTATAGGGTCACTTGGCCCATTTTCTTGCCTGTCCACTGAGCCCACTGGGCCAAGTCTCCTCAGGCAAGGGCCAGATGCGATGAAAGTGGGTTACAATTGAGGTTGAGAAAAACAGAAGTGTAGGTTCCCAGAGCAGTTTTTCTGTATTACATCGACAATATATCCCTTCCCGTTTGATACACCTCTATCCCACTCTTCGCATCTACTCGTGTTTGTCGCGCTTGGGTCTCTGGTGCAAAAATGGGCGATGAGCGAAATGTCTCATGACTTCTTGTTCCACCAGCCTCTTTTTCCTATGTTGTGTACCTTGGACTTTGCTTTGAAAAGACCATCGGGGATGGCGGTTTACTCGCATTTATTAAGTCTAGCATCTTCTTTTCCAGTTTTGAAATCTTCTTTTTTACTCCATATTCTTTTCTTCTCTCCATTTTGGTGAACTCTTACGTGAGGTTTTTTTTACTGCCGTTATCTTCCTCATGTGACGTTTACTAATTCCATGCCAACTGATATTATCAACGATTCTCAATTATACTAACTCCATCGCGTCACACAGTCGAAACAAAGGCGCCCCGCCGCCACTGCCACTTGCTCATCTTACGCCATGCAACCTTCCAATCCAATGACGTTGCAAGACCGAGTGGGGCTACCATTTTTGCCCCCCCGATGCAACCTTGTTCTCAAATCTCCCGGCTGCGTGCCCTTGTTTGTGTACCTGCATATCATACCCCTGCCAGTATCTTTCTGTGACATTCCTATGGCCTGTGCGCTCGATGATGTTCAAGGATTATCCTTGTAAGACTTTCTTGAGCTCCGTTGGGTCGTCCACCCGTTGCTTCGCTCTAGTGTCTGCTCTTTTTTGAGAGTTGTTCTTGGGTTAATCTCCTGATGCCGACATTGCGCGCGTATGTGTGTGTGTGTGTGTATGTGGTGATGTCGTTGATTTGTCATTAGTAGTATCGAGTGCGGTGCCGCGCGATTATGTTGGTGTGAGATGCGTGATGTGTTGGGATACAAGCGCCTTGTCGACTCCCTTAGTTCGATTGGGAGTGGGGGGGGGGCGCAATTCGTTGGCAGTGACGGTGATTAATCTGTTTATTATCGATAGATCCAAATACTTTTATCCCGCGCGCGCGTCTGTGTGCGTGCGCGCGTAGTCTCCTCTCATTGAATCGTCATATTTTCCTAATCTGCATCATGATTCTACGTGTCTATGGATAATTTGTATTACTGCTTACACGTTTCGAAATGCGCCATTCGTATCCCCCCCCACACACGTGTGTATGTTTGGGGCGTTTTCTCGCTTCGTATCATGTTCCAATACGAGATTATGCTATACCCTTCTTTTCCCTCTCTCTCGTATGAGGACTTAGTGAACGGCATTTCTTGCGCCGCTCCCGACCCGCGACGAGGTGTGGAAAGTTTATCGGAGAGGGGAGCGGCCTTGGTGTGTCAATGCGTTTGGGGGCGCATGTAGGTATTATGCACGGAAAGGGAAAGAAGAGGGTTTGGGGGGTTCCTGTGCGTGTTCCCGCGTTGTTCTAGTAGGTGTGCGTACTTACACAGAGCTGAAGAAGGTTTGGGCTTTGTTTCGACGACGTGTGGCGCAGAGTATCATGGGATTGAGTGATTTCTCCGTTTTTGCCCTTTCCAGATGTCTTCGGTATGGAAAGAGGATATGTAGAGCATATTGGATTCAGAGTGCATAGTGCAAACTACCGATATCTTGTCGCCATAGCTCGCTCGCTGGCCTGCCGGCGAGCGTCATTTCCGAGTGAGCACGAAGTTCGCGATGTCCGTTTCCCAAAATCAGATTTCGCGCGTTCGTCATCACTTTTCTTTTATACTTTGACTTTCATTTCGGGAGTTGGTGGATACCAGCATAATGCGCTTTTTTATTTTGCAGGCTAAGTAGATGGACTAATGGGATCTGCAAACATGTCTAGTGCAGGCTGTGACTCGTTGTTTTCCTTTTAGACGGTGTGGATCTGGCGTGTTTTGAAGGGATCAGCTCATGGGTCATTGCTAGGTGTAGTGTTGGGTGCGTGCGGGTTGGAAAAGTCATGGGTGAGAGATGTGTTGTTGAGATAGTTCAGTAGTGTGCATTGCTATAACAGTGAGGTATGTGATATAGTGATAACTTTTTTCTGACCAGCGCAACTATGTACTTGGCCAATTTACAACACGATGATAGCAAGTCAACAGTCTGAAAGAATACTCCACTTTCTAAAATTCCGCCGGGTATCATGACTACAACGCTAAACAAACAAATCCCACCTGGATACCACAAAGTGGACTCTCCTAACCTCAACATTGGGCCTAATGATAATAATAATAATGTTCATGTCGCCGTCGTCCACCATAGTACGTCGAGTAGTCTCTGAAACCAGGCAAGCCCAACTGAGAAGCGACATTGATGTAACCCTCTTCGTTCCTTTGCAACCCATTAGTGTTTATATTGCCGACTTTGCTTGCCAACACTGCATCTGTATCCCACTTGGCACGGCAGTACGGGCATGTCGCATTGTTTCTAGCTGCAGCTACCCAGTTCTGCATACAAACCTTGTGTATATTGTTTCCGCAGCTGGTCTTGCAGTACACAATATCTTCCATACCATCAAGCTCGTCATAGCAAATGGGACATTCGCCTTCGATGGGCTTGCGATTGCCGTCTTCGCTCTGCTTCTCCGTCTCAGTGCCGGGGATGGGTGGCGCATTCCTCATGACTTCGCGCAACTCGGAGCTAACAAGAGCTAGCTGATATGCAATCTCTTCTCGCGCCTTCAACACTCTTAGCATGACGTATATAATGTGCTTGCATTGATTGCCCTTTCTAGCATGCGGGCAGTCGCACGAGGGAACGAGGCCAATTGAGATCATGTACATGTTGCCTGTCGAGCCTGCGATGATAACCTTCTCCTCAGGCACATCATCCGTTCCGCAGCGCTCGCGTGAAAGTACCGTCAAGCGCTGTGTAAGTGCCCGCTCTCTTACATCCAGGTAGCTTTGTGGTGCCCTTTTGCGAAATATTCTGGCTCGCTTCTCCTGAACAGGCGCGTCAGGGTCACGCTTGCTCTTCTTCGGAGGAGGCGCCTTCTTGGGCGAGTCTTGTGTAAGGTCGATAACTTCGATTTCGCGGCTACTAGATGCCGTGGGCGCATACCGGTGCGCAACGTGGGCATCATTGTCGGCGTAGGTCGTGAAATTGCGCTTGCGCGTCGCTGATGTCGACGGATGAATCGGGTACGGCATTGCGCTCCTCGGAATCCTCGACATATGCTCAGGAAGGGGGACCCTATAATTGGGAAATTCGAATTGGAAAGAGCGGCTATGAACTGGCTATTGAGAGTAGCGTCCGGGGAACGTGTGCGTTAAGGAGTAACGGCATAGATGAAGCTGACCCGAGTCGCCCTTGCTCCGCGAACACACGTGATGACGTCGGTGGTTCTACATGGGATATTCTATTCCATACTTTCAATGCATATGCAACCCCGTTCAAATTACATTCAAATCTCTCAGGACGCAGCATCAGATGGAATTGACAAATAGCATCAGAACAGACATGCTCTGGCTCAGCCTTCTTACGCCTATCGCAACATGCGCAATATGAGAGCGAATGCATCTTCTTTGAAACGTACAGTGTCATGCTTCGCACATCAACTCGGGCAGGTAAATGCGTTTTATACCCTGATATGCTGAAATGAAAGCTGTATGAATTATGTGATCTCTCCATAGGTAAGTCGATACTATTGTCAGCAGCAAGTATGAGCAATTACACACAATGAAGGGCCCTGATTTACAATTGGTCTCGTGGCTTCTTTTCGTTGATGATACCCCTCAAAATACACTGTATAACTAGTGGTTCTCTAAGCCTCTTATCTTGATGGCTTTATCTTTATACCTCAATGTTTCCATGGTACGCCACAAACACCCTTGACCTAAAGGGTTCTACATACTACGGAATTCCAATAGTATGCTTCGTTGACCCATTCTGATATTGGACGCCAACGTCATGTCCTGTCGTCCTTACGGAGCATTCAGAGCCACATGATCACTCCGGTACCGGAACATGCAGTTGTGGTTTCCATATCTTCGACCCAAGTTAGCATCGAAGGGCAGATATTGAGTCCCGTAGGCACCATTCTCATGTACAAAGAAAAAGTATTTGGCACGAAGCTCAATTTTACTTTCCAATTCCACACCCCACGTAGTCGCAACCCTTCTCTCGTCGACAATGGCTAACCTTAAAGTGCCGGCTTCGGCTCATCGTCTCTCCTTCAACCGAACAGCAGCCCAGACTGTCAAACAGACCACTGTGGTTCAAGAGCATTCCTTGCTAGAGCCATTATCGCCACTACCGGATATCGAAAGACACAGCACGCCAGCTGCGGAGGACGATGTATTCGGTAATGAAGAAGGTGCCGAAATCCAGTACAAGACATGTTCGTGGTGGTAAGTATTCGAGCTCTTCTGAACCCACACAAAACCTCAAGTGACGCGTCTGAAATTACTTGACGCGGCTTGACATGCCATCCTTCATTCCACCACATCTTGCTGACGTGAACGTTTAGGAATACGGGTATTCGTAAGCTACAACTCTCTCCGCGTTACCCCGCTCTGACAGTTCCAAGTAATGCTGGCTGAAAATGTTTCCCTCGGTGTCCTTGCGCTCCCCCAAGCCCTAGCGATTCTGGGAATCGTTCCAGGCATGCTCTGCATTTGCCTAATGGGGATCATCGCCACATACACAGGATACCTGATTGGCGAGTTCAAACTGGCGCACCCATCTGTGCAATCGTATGCGGACTGCGGGCAGCTGATGAGTGGGCTCATCGCCCGTGAAGTGATTGCTGTTGCACAGGTTCTGGTGTTGATATTCATAATGGGCGCCCATATCCTGACGTTTGCGGTTGCCATGAACGCAATGACTAACCACGGGGCTTGCACAATCATCTTCAGTGTGGTTGGACTGTTCGTTTCTTTCTTACTCGGGCTACCGAGGACGTTCAAGAATATCAGCTACTTTAGTATCTTTTGTGAGTCAAGATGCAGACGACATGTCGCCTGTCTTGCTTACCATGCTATAGCTTGCGTTTCGATAATCGTAGGTGTCACAATCACCATGATCGCCATCAGCATCCAAAAGCCAGACATGAACAACATGGTGGTCATACGACCGGATGTACCACTGGTCAAAGGCCTGGCTCCTGTTATGAACATCGTGTTGGCCTATAGTAAGTACATCATTCCCGCTTCATGACGCGCATTACCACTGACGCACTGTAGCTGGACATGTCGCCTTCTTTTCCTTTGCATCCGAACTCAAGGACCCGCGCGACTTCCGCAAAGCTCTTTTCTTTGAACAGGGAATTGCAGTGACATTCTATCTACTCATCTCAGCGGTCATATACTACTACGCTGGACCCCTTGTGTCCTCGCCCGCCTTGGGTTCTGCGTCACCTTTGGTCAGCAAGATTTGTTTTGGCATAGCACTTCCGACCATTATTGTTGCCGGTGTTGTCAATGGCTCGGTAGCCACCAAATACGTCTACCTCAGGGTATGGAAGGGCACAAACGAAGTGCACACCAACAGCTGGAGAAGCCTGGGTAGTTGGGTGGGGATTTGCTCTGGGGCATGGCTAGCAAGCTGGATTTTGGCTGAGGCGATTCCAAACTTCAATTTGCTACTGGGTTTGATTGGCGCGCTCTTTGGGAGCTGGTTCAGCTGTAAGTTCTTATGAACCCTTCTTTTGCATGCGACGATGTGTACTCGGCCAGTGGTCTGACACGCACAGATGCTTTTCCTCCACTACTGTGGCTGTGGCACAATAAAGTCAATGGAAGACTATTCTTTTCAAAGCGGCAGATGGTCTTTACAGTCCTGAATTTCTCGATAGTGTTGTTGGGGATGGCCATTGTAAGTGATTTTTCTCCCTACTGGTCGAGGCGGCTTGGCTGACCCTGTGTTGCAGTTTGGCCTGGGCATGTGGTCGTCTGGGTGGGCTTTGCATGATGGTTCCGGCGGCAAGGTGTTTTCTTGTGAGGATAATTGGCATCCCGTCAGTTGGGTGGCGGGAGGCACAGACGACGGCTGACCGTGTTGGTTGCTATTCGGAGTTGGAGAGAAAGGGCGCTTCTCCTCTGGGATAGGGTCGGCCAAGGCTCGATCCTATCATGTAAATATTCTGGATGGTACATGTATACATAATTGTAAAGTCGCATGTGTCAAGCATGTATGCGCAAAATGGTATCAACGTGTCAAGTTCCAATGCATTAATACTGAGGTGGTGGAAACGTGGAGCCGCGCGATGACGCGACCGGGGACATGCTTCGGTGCGTTACAGTGCAGCGGCGCGCACAACGACTCCTCACCTTACCAGCCAATAATAAGCGCCTCCCTACCCCAGCGCCCGTCCGAAATAAGCTCTTTCCGGAGGATAGACGCAGGCTCATGTAATCTGGCTAATGTCAATATGGACGGGAGCGCCAAGTGAGGAGGCTGGACGACCTGGCCTTGGGCGTTAGATCGCCATGGGACACACCTCCTTGCTCTGCTGCTGATAAGCACCTACTCATTCACAGCGACAACTCTGGACTGCGGATCGCGCCATTGTTGATTCTGCGACGGTGGTACTACAGGTTGCTTGTTCGTACACATAGCCTTTAGCAATTGTCCTACCTTGACTCCCACCTCCTCTATCACTCATCCCCGAGCTTTCCGCCGCCCAGCTCTTCCCCTAATCGTGTTCGGCGCCCCCTCGCGACATCAACGCGACCGCGACCCAACTCGCTACCCTTTTCCCCATCATGCCAGTCGAGCTCCGGAAGCGCAAGGCCGCGGCCCCAGCGCCAGCACCACCTGCAAAGAAAAAGGCACCCGCAAAGGCCAAGAAAGCCGACGGCGAGAAGACTGTCGTCGAAAAGGTCCAAGACGCGGTCGTCGAAAAGGCCGAAGCCGTCAAGAAAGCCGTTGTAAGCAAGACCAACGGCGCCTCAACTGCTAAATCCAGCGGCGCGCCCAAAGTCGGCGACACAATTGACCTCGCCTCATTCGGCGGCGAAATCGAAACCAACGATGGTACCAAGACGTCGCTCGCGAAGCTCGTAGAAGAAAGCAAGGCCGGTGTAGTCCTATTCACGTACCCCAAAGCCTCGACTCCGGGATGTAAGTCGCGTCTCCCACCCACCCCCATTGCATATGTATCAGTATCACTTACACGACCGGCTCTTCGGTATAGGCACAACCCAAGTCTGTCTCTTCCGCGACTCCTACACGCCTCTAACCGCAACCGGCCTCTCCATCTACGGTCTCTCGTCCGACAGCCCCAAGGCAAACACCACCTTCAAGACCAAGCAGAAGCTGCCGTACTCGCTGCTGTGCGACCCCGCGCAGACCCTCATTTCGGCCATTGGGTTTAAGAAGGCACCAAGGGGGACGACTCGCGGCGTCTTTGTGGTTGATAAGCAGGGTAAGGTGTTGGCGGCTGAGCCCGGTGGACCCGCCGCGACAGTTGAGGTTGTGAAGAAGCTTGTGGGGGACGCGGAGAAGGTGCCCGCGAAAGAGGAGGTGGAGGCGAAGGAGAAGGAGGAGGACAAGAAGGTTGCGGAGACAGCGGATGAGGTTGCGGATTCGGCGGCTAAGGTTGATGCTCCCGCTGCTGCTTGAGGGATTTGGTGCGATGCAAGACGTTTTTCCGGGTAATTGAAAGAGTTTGTGCTTAGTGACAGCGTGTGTTTTGTTGTTCTTTTTTTAGCTGGAATAATGAATATTTGAGATTTGTGATACAAGTGCTTGAAGCATGTGTGAGTAGGTTTGCTAATATTATTTTCTGGTATTTGTATCTTCATAATCTAGCTATGTCCTCGGCCCCAGTTTTTGAGTCTTGTTCATATGTCATATGTAGATATGGGTATTCGTTAGCTGTCTTGTTCGCTAGTTACACGTCTATGATACTACGTTTCCGCTGCTGTGAAGAGATGAAGGTTTTTGGTAAGATGATAGTGGGAATAGAAATACTATTTGGCACTCGATAGACTTAGATCTCGTGCTGCTAAAGGATAAACTGTTGGCACGTGATTGTGTGAATTACTGATGCGGTGTCTAGACTATGTGCTTGGTAGGGTTGGTGGATAGCGACTAATCGTAGTTACTCCTGCGAGTACTTTTAAACAAGCATATGTTTTTTAATCCAAATTGCCAACTGTGAGGGCATGCATGTCAGAAGAAAACCTCAAATACTAAGAAAACACTCTTCGATGAAGATTGAGGCTCGGAAAATGATCATGACATGTTGTCCGAGGCATCTGGTAAATGACGTACGTCATGTGAGGGCCAAGTGAACGCGTAGGTATCCTTGTGGCTACTGTCTACACTGCGCCTCATGCCACTGGCAACAGCATGTAAATGTGCAGCACACTTGCCGACCACCATCATCAATCGACTTGAGCCTCAGGATCATACCACTGGTTGCGTAACCCATTACCAAACCACCGCGTCTCTGCGCCACAGAGGTTGTCCCTCTGCACCGGCCACTTCAAGCACAAGATGTGGTCATGGGGCTTTACTGTAGATGAATGGAAACGAACGGCTCCACTGCTTTCAGCCTTGTTATGGCGACGCCTGGGCCAAGAGGCGTTCAGGCAAATGGATTCAAGTTGGGCTGTGTCTGCTTGTACTCAGCTGATGAGCCAAGGTAACGTCTCATTCGCACGCTTATTCACATCTCCGTATGCAATGCTGTCCAGAGATATCCGCCAGATATCAGCCAGACACTAAGCCCCTAAATGGCAGTCTTCAAACCGTGATAACAACGACAGGATCAGTAACCCACGAACCGTGTGGCGGAGTTTACTGCCCGGAACGAATCGTTATACACAGAAAACGTTACCGAGCCACCTTACTCAACAGTAACAGAATTAAGGCCAATACGCCTAGTGCGAATCTACTGCTACTGGGGTAGTTGCACAGAAAGTGATTCTGAAGCCGCGCCTTGGCACTGCACAGCCTACTTTTCAGACCTTGCTATACTAGACTACTGTTCCTGAAAGCTCCGACTACCATTATTCTCATACCCCCCTCCCTTTTGACCCTTTTCTTGGTTAACATCCTAGTGGGTACCACACCTACATCAAATAGTTTACCCAGATACTATATTGTACTCAAGACTGATCTCCAACAGGAAGTACTTTCCTTCCTTTTACTTTGTTTCGAAGGCTGTTGGGCCCAAGCCAACAAGTTACCAAAAACAGGTGAAATCAACCAAACTCATACATTTTTCTTCATACCTCGAGTATCTTAAACAGGGTTATAACCATGATAAAGCTCAAGGGCCGTAGGCGCATGTGCGCTTACACCAAGGCCAAGGATTTTTTAAAATCCCGGCTGCTGCATTCTGTCTCGCGCCCTGATGCTGCTTCGATCCCACACAAAGTTTCTCGAATCTTCACACCGCCCCAGAAGGATGAACGATTTGAGCGAACACTTGACATATCCATCAGAAATGGAGATGGCGAGGCTTGGTCCGGTTTAACCCATGGAGTGGGCTTGTTCGACACGCAATGCGAGCATAACCTGGTCACCGCCCAGTTCCTCAAGAATATTGGCTTCAAGTGGCAGCCATCTACAGAAGACACTGATATCATCCAAATGGACAACACCAAGATCGAATGTCTGGGTGAGGTTCGGGGAAGATGGCACCCGGTTGACGCTCCAAAGGGCACAAAGGACTTGAATTTCCGACCACGCTACGAAATGTCCACCTTCAAGGTTGTTGATTTGGATACATGCGACCTCATCATTGGGCGCACCACAATGATTGACCTGAAACTGTTACAAATAAATCGCAACTTCTTTGGTGCATTCCGTCAACTCCCTATTCGCGTCGACTGTACGTTTGTAAACTCACACTGTGGGCGCTTGATTGCTAACTCCGATATAGCAGCTAGTACAACTATTAAGAAGCAGCAGGAAGCAGACGAGCGCAGAAAGAAGGAACAAGAGGAGATGCGTAAGTTTGAAGAGGAGCAGGTATGACGCTGTTGCAACTATACCAACAAAATGGTACTAACCTGGTTAGGCACTCAAGGCCAGAGCCCTCTGCCCCAAAGCCCCCTAGCGACACCCGAATGTCAATTTTCCAACCATCACAGAGTTACCGACTTTACTACACTGGGCCGCTATTGGAAATACGTCTTTGAGTCGTTGCAGAAAGCAACAAATAGCATTTACGCTACGGGATACCACAGCAAGGGTAGAGGGAGGAGGCGTAAGCGCCAGGATTGCGCTCGCATGCCAGCTGAGGGTACGTGATGAGGGGCGAACACCATTTAAGCTGCCTGATGAGCGACCAAAAGCGTTCCCCCACCCCGGGCTTGACGAGCGCATGCATGCAGCAGCCATTCCTCTCTGATACGCTGCATGTGCCAACATTGAAAGTTTTATCTGAACAGGATCATTTGCGGGAGTTTGAATTTAGCCGGTTTCATTCTTGCATTGCATTTCAGTTCAAGAGCAGCTAGGAAGCGAGCGATTGAATTTAGCTACAACTGTAACATTATTGGCATTGCACTGGGAATCTACATGTTATATTTTATGACTTTGTCTACATCACCCACCCCCTATACTTTCGCCCATCACTGATCGCGTCAAGCCCCCTTGACACGATCCGACCCTACAAAAACAACTTGAACAGCGGCAAACCTAGCGTCTCGTTAGAGAGAAAAGAACTAGAAGTATCAGCAGTGTCACATGGTTAAAGTACTTACGCAGCAGTGATAGCGAAAACCTCCGCTCTCTTCGCCCCCGTCAACGCCATCAAACAGATCGACACCAACACATTAAACCCAGCAATAATACCCAACCTCGCAGACATGGATTGAACACGATACAGCACCGCAATCGACGCAATCGGAATCAACGACGCAAGAATACTAGTAAACCAGTACGTGACCCTGTAAATCGTACCATCTTGATATCCCACAACCCCATGGACGCGCGAGGGCTTCATAAAACGCGCGCAGCCGCATCGGAGGAGGTTGATAATTGTGCTTTCTGCGGCCCACGCGGAAAATGCATCTTTCTTTTCTCGCGGACACAGAGTGATGAGATCGGGATTTTGGGAGTCGCGGTCCAGGACGGAGCCCCAGATTCTGGCATCGTCGCCAGTTAGGGCGTTGGAGCCCATTTCGGAAGTTTGAAGGTAATTTTGCATGTGGTGGAGGTCCCAGGGGCTGGGTTTGGGGTATTTGAGAATGGAGGCTTGTTGGATTAGGGTTTCATCTGTTGGTATGAGTATGATGATGTCATTCTTTGAGATATTTGGAAGCATACTGTATTCCTTTAGCACTTGCCTGATTCTCAACACGAGCGCCTGCTGCTCGCCCGCGTCAGTGTTTTCAGATCCCTTGAGCCAGAACCAGTTCAGTGCGTAGGCTGATCTCTTTCCAGATGGGTCGTTGGCATCGATTTGCTGTCGCTCTCTGAGTTTCTTCTCTAGGTACGCAAGTTCAGCTTGCATGTAGAGTAGGTTCTGGGCATTGAGAGCACCGAATCTGCGAAACATGGAAAGCTCGGGCAGTATCTCAATTTGCGCTGCCAGTTTCGGATACCCGACGACATACTCCTGTAACGGGTCATGTGATGCACTCATGCTTTTCTGCCTAGGTCAAAATATTGATGTATTTGGGACGGCAGGCTGGATTTTCATGGTGCCCATATATTCTGGACACAGCATATCGCCTGCCATGGTAGAGCTATCATTAGTCCTGTGTATCCTGCAGAATGGATTTCTTCTGCATGAGACGCCGTGGAGCTTCAAAATGGAGCTGCATGTGGTTGCCTTGTGAAGCAGGCTGAGAGTCTGTCCAGCCAGCCGGGAGAGAGGTACGCCGTATCTCATACTGAGCTACTTGTGTAACAACCATCGACGCTATTTCATGGTATCAACAAAGCCATAATTGTCACATATAGAGGGACAGGTTTCGTAGACGTTCTGTGACAGACGCTGTCTATGCCTGACAGCACGTCAAGGCGCTGACTCTTCGGCTGCCTCGGAACGTCAAGTAGCTGTGAATCCCGGTGAGACGCCTTTGGAAATGGCTGTGTCTTAGTCCTAATGTAAATCCATGTGTACGTGAAGGTTTCATTGGGTGGCTGCAGATTGTCAGCTGCTACACCCGTGTTCCAGCGCTACGTAGCGACCGCCCCAACCTGCAGCCATATCAACTTGCGCCTCCTCTATGCGTCATCCAAAAACTACGTAATCATAGTGCTCTTCTTCGTCCCTTGAATCTTAAGAGTGCCTAGTTGAAGGCAACAATATTTGCTCCATAATGAATGATATCGCACGCGGACTGCGCCCTTATGGCTAAGCCTTGTCATGCTCAATCGAGGACCGCAAGCCACCCTGCGGACTCAGCCTTGTCACACATGTCACAAGGCTGATCCAGGTGTCGATTGCCTTCTCCTCGGCTATGATGCCGCAATAACGACATTTATTCGCCCCGCTTATAGTCCTTTGGTAAGGGCACAGCCTCCACAGCTTGCACATGATGCTCATTGGACGTGACCCACAGTATACGGGGGCTGTAAGCGGCAAATGATGCATGGGTCGTGAGATGGACATCAAGTTGGACTGATGTGACTCGTCTTGCCTGCCTCAGGAAATCGGATAAACTATTGGTCCCTCTTATATTCCATGTGGTCTTCTTAGTCCTTATCACTATCGCGAAGTCTTTCAACCTCAACAGATGTCCACCTTAACGTAACGAGATTACTATCAGCACTCTCAGCATTCTCTTTACACACAGTACATGAATTGAAAAAAACTATGTCTCGATGGACGTGCGGAATTTTTGGCTTATTCTCACTTGCAGTAAGTTACTCTCTCTTTCCGTTTAAAGCCGCTGTTGACATATGCCAGATAAGACATCAACTATACCAACCGACTCAAATAGAAATATTCAGTCGGCACGAAAACGAGAGAGATACCTGGAACTGGGCCGTGCTCACATGCGACCCGGCTATAGATCATAACATTATATCTCATCAACTTGTAGTGGAAGTGCTGCAAGTGCTAGTGCAGCCGATAGACGAAAAGATGGAGCCTTGTATACATACGTATGGACGCGGCGAAAAGATCATAGGATACGTGGATCTTACATGGTGTTTTGAGAAAAACAATAGACGGATGCAAACCACGCGGTTCTGGGTCACTTCGACGGAAAACCCTTCTTACGATGCAATACTCGGGCGGACGGATGCAGAGCAATGCGGCCTAATAAGACATAAAAGGAGATGGTTGTGATCTGTGAGATATTCCGAGAAGGGGACTTCAGGTGAGAGAACAGAAAATCTCCTGGCTCTCAGACGGCTTTGCATGTCATGGAAAGTCGCACACATGCTTGAGCTAAGCTCTCAGTATGCTTATTTCTGTCGCGTGGCGCTTTGGAATTCTCAGAATAATTTTTTGGTACTTTAGCTATTTTTTGTTTTTTTTTCTCTATAGCACTCGGGTTGGAAGTCTCAATCCTATGCGTTTGGGGTTGGTATTTGCTTGCCTAGAAATACTTTGCCACCGACTGGTTCTATCTGCACCTCGATGGAATTGCTACAATACAACAGAAACGGGGTATTTCCTGGAATCTCCATACTAGACATACATTTGGAATCAATGTCACATGTTGCGATCCCCGTTTTGCATTTCGCAAACTGGACATTGTAGGTACCAAATACTCAGAGCATGACCAGGTCATCTAAACACATGAGTCAAAGCAACCACATGAGCCGTCAGCTTCGGAATTGCAGAGACTCCATGTCGAAACTGGGGATTTACAAATTCACAGATCAAACTTTGACTATCCATAGAAGGCTATGAGACCAGGCTGCTTTCATAAAGAGCCAGCCTAGCCAGTGACATTTGCACATCCAACAAGACTACGGAGAAGCCAACTAGCTCTGCCATCATCACTCCTATCAGTGCAAATGAAAACAAGCTAATCAGATATGTACGTGTGTATTGAACTCTCTCCATCTAACTCTCCACAGCACCATATCTGAACGAGACATACGCATCCCCAAACTCCTGCACAACAGGCGTGCTTTCAATCTTCACCAACGCAGTCTTCCACGGTATCCTCGACATACCACTCAGCTCTGCTACTTCGGCTCTTCCTCCACTGCTAGCATCTAGTTGTGTGCTTGAAGGAGTCACAAGGTTTTAACGTTTTACGTGCGTAGTAGGGAGACTGATGTATCTCTACGACATACGGTGCAGCACTAGCTTTAAGGAACGAAGCTGTACCATATGACCAGACATAAATTTACTCTCTTCTTTCACACTGCCCGAGCCCACCAACACACTCCTCCTCCTCCTCCCTCTCTGTCTCTAAAGCAAACCCTCTTCTAGGACAGTAACAATAACGCCAGGTAGAACAACCGTAGCAAAAACCGCCACCTTACCCATCGACATCCCAGCACCCCCTTTCTCCCCCATATTCCCCGTTCCATTCCCCATACTTCCCCCATTCCAACCAAACCTCACCATCAATGCCTCATCCACCAAACTTGCAGCATTATGAACCTCCCCTTATGCCTCCTCATCCACATACCCTCCCCCTGTACCTCAAATCCATCTAGACAACACCGTGGCCCCCTTTCCCCATCAACCTAGTCGAGCCCCGAGGTCTGCATAACCAGAGTCTTCAAACGCCTGTGGGGATAGAAAGTGGACGACACGTGGATTTTCTCAAGTATTGTTGATCAGGCAGTAATCTCTTCGAAAATGTACACAACAAAAGTAAGGAATGAATTCACTTTGTCGCCAAAGGATCAACGATGGGCTTATTCTTTTTCTCTCACTTCCGCCAACATCACTCAACACAGCCTCATGCGACCCACTTTCCCGCGTCTCGGAACCTTTGTCGTCGAGGGTCGATGATTTCACTTTCTAGTTGGCGGTTTGAAGTTGGTGAACATGTCCGTTTTCACATGAGATTATTGTTCCTGGGCGGGTACTTGGCTGGTTAATTTTGTATGAGGCTAATAGGCTCGATTGCTCAACGGGCGGAGGGTGTGGTGTTTTGCTGTTGATAGGAAATCAGGACACCAAAGGAATTATACATAGCCACGACAAATGCATCATCATCGTCTATCAGAACTGCTTGCAAATAAGATAAAATTGTATTTCTCATTTGTATACTGGCGTTCTATATTTTTGTATCTGTATAAATCTCAACGTGCCATTCTTCTGCACATTGAATCAAGCCTTATAGCCAGCCTCGAACAGACCCTCCTTCAAGCTTTCAATCGCCTTGGTAATGTCTGGACGGTTGGGATCTGTCACGCTAACACCCATGTGGCCGAATCGAATGTACTTGGTGGCGATCTCCTTGTGCAGACCGCCGGCGAAGATGACACCCTTCTTAAGGAGGTTGGGGAGCACTTGAGGAGGTGTCATGCCCTCGGGAAGGTACATGGCGGTCATACCAGTAGCCTGGCTCTCGGGATTGGGAGCCAATTGCTTGAGGCCCAAGTCTTCAACAGCCTTTTTGACCTTTTGTGACGCAGCCTTATGGGCAGCCCAGTAATCTTCAATGGGCCTCGCGAGGATTTGCTTGAGGGCGGTGTCAAGGGCGTGGATGAGTTGTGGCGAGGGGGTCGCAAAGTAAGATGGCTTCTTGGCTTCGTAGTTTTGCATGACTAGAATCGCGTTAGCATGATGCTGTCAGTAGTCGAGTGAACAGTGGTTGCTTACTTGGTAGCCAGTTCTTCCATGAACCAAAGTACGAAGTTGGCCGTGTCTTTCTCGCCTTGAACCTTTCAATTGCGCGACCAGAGACCATCATGATGCTCAAACCAGCTGGGCAGCCAATGCCTTTTTGTGAAGCTGTGAGAACGGCATCGAGCTTCCATTCATCGAAGCGGATCTCCTCAGAGCCAACACTGCAGACACCATCTACTACGACCAGCGTCTCGGGGCTCACTCGGTGGACGAGCTCACTGAGCGCCTTGATGTCGCTCAACACACCAGTTGAAGTATCCACATGGGTAACAGTAAGGATCTTGTACTCCTTCTCCTTCAGCGCTGCTTCGACCTCGTCGAGTTGTGGTCGTTCGCCAATGGGCGCCTTGAGTTGTGTGGCCTTGACACCATAAGTCTCGAAGCAGTCGGCAAACGAGTCGGCAAAGTAGCCAGTGTGTAGAACGAGCACCTCATCGCCGGGCTCAACCAGGTTGGCGGCGACCTGATCCCATCCGAGTGTACCGGAGCCGGAGATGACAAAGGGTTGCGCAGCAGGGTCGGTGGAGACGAAGAGCTTGCGGAGGTTTCCTAGGACTTCGCTGAAGGTGTTTACAAAGGGTTGGCCGACATGCGACTCGCTAGATGTACTTAGTTCAAGGCCTTATTGATATGTAACTGTAGCATACCTATAATGGCTCATAGAGTTGAGGACAGCATCGTCAAACTCAATAGGCCCAGGGATGAGCAGAGCAGGGTGTGGCGGTTGGCTGGACATAATCTTTGGTGGTTTCGGCGTGGCTTCCTTGGTCTCCTTGACTTCGGGTTTGACTGGCTCAACCGGCTTGACTTGTGCCTTGGCTTCTGGCTTCTTGGATATTATGCGATTGCCGTGTTCGTCTTCGAGGCGAGTGGTGCGTTCGGTGGCAAAGGGAGTGTTCAATTCGAGGAAGGGCTTTGGATCTAAATGCTTGGAGACCTGGTTCAGACGGGAGGTCGCCCGCAAACGAGGTGATGACATGCTAAGGCGTGGTTGGAGACGGCTGTTCACGGCAAAGAGACGCAAGCGCGGGGCTGCAAACATTCCGGTATTCGGAGACCTGCGCTTGGAGAAGCGCAGAAGGGGAGAACACGAAAAGTGGTACAAAGTGTCGATTGGGGTAAGGATGCGGCCGGTTCGCAGGCTGTTCGGTGGTGCAGACGAGTCAGATACGAAGATTAATGTCGCTAACAGGTGCTTTGAGGAAATCTGGTGGTGTAATTGACCACCAAGGGGCCTGTCCTTCAAGTATTGCCTCTAAAAAAACCAAACGTCCACCGAGAAGCCCTCACGCACGGATTTCCGCCTGGTCCCGGACATGGCGCTATGAATCGTGGGGTGCCGCGTGTCGGGCGCAGTCGTGTGTACATACATAGTAGGGGTGAAGCAGTCGCGGTCACGTGCAGAACCACTGGCGCGTGCTTCCACGCCTTACTCGGTTGGGATATTTGTTGTCAGCCGGCTCCACCCTTGTGCAGCATCAACACTGGGAGCATTTCATCGCTGCAGACACAGTTGGATATACATACATACCTACACAACACTCGTTGGACCCAATTGGCCATTGACGATGCGTGTGACTCGTGCGCGCGCCCAGCAGGGCCATAATGAAGTTACCGACGCGACCGAGCGCGCGCCGTTGAACGAAATAACGTCGAATGCATCAGCCGAGCAACCCCGCGACGACGACGACGAAGAGCTGCTGCCTGCAAAAACTCCTGCGAAGACTCCCGCAAAGAAGGGCAAAGCAAAAGGCCGCGCAAAGAAAGGGAAAAAGGCCAAGGCGGCTGAGGAAGAAGAGGAGGACCAAGTCGAAGCTGCACCTGAAGACGCGCAAACAGCGCCTGAGCCCGTCGAGGCGCCCGCAAGCGCTGAAGATGGTACAATAGAGTCCCAAACCCTCTCGCAAACTCAGGATGAGTCTGTATCGGCTGTGGCCTCTGGCATCGATTCGTCAGCGAACCCTTCTGAAGTTGCAGAGGTCTCCATCAAGGTCCAACGACCAGTAACCCCAACTAAGCCCGTACGCCTGACTCGCCGCCAATTGGCCATGCAGGAAGAGGAAATGAAGAAGGCGCAACACGCCGCTCCCACAGTTCAGGAACCAGAAACCCAAGTTCCAGAGTCAACAGCAGATGTGCCCAAAGCCACGGAAGAAGCCCTTCAAGTACCAGAGCAGGTTGAAGATCCAAAAGCACCAGAAACTCAAAGTGAAGATGTAAAGGAAGAGAAGTTTGAGGAGGTAGAGAATGTTGTTGATAAGGTCCAACCAGAGGCTGTAGTCGAGCCCGTAGCAGAACGTGAAGTATCCCAAGAGGCTTCGCCAGAGGTGCCACAAGTGGAAGAACCCCAGATTCAGCCTCAAGTCCCCGAAGCAGCAGCTGACATTCCCGTACCCTCTGTCGAAGTCAGTCCAGAAACAGAGCCAAAGTCGCTTGCAACCCAAAAGTCCAATGAAGATCTTATGGCCACTCTCAGGAGCCAGGCTTCAAGTCGACGGACGTCGCGTAGCCTCTCAAAATCCCCTATGCGTCTCGAGGAGTCTTTTGAAGCAATCGATGCGCTTGAGGAGGCTCTGGAGAATGTCACATCAGTAGCCAGAATCGATCGATTGAACGAGGAGACATCGCCCGAGAGAGCAAAGGCCTCCAAGACCACTAGCACAGCAAGCACACGCCCAAAGTCGATGTATACAACTTCGACTACATCTACAAAGTTATCCAGGGCCCCCAGTTCTGCTGCACCGAAGAGTATGAAGCCGGTCAAGTCTTCATTAGCTCGCACAACCAGTGTTCGTACTGCAACTAGCAAGGAAGTCAAGACAACTTCCGCGCCGACGACAGATTATCTTGCTGCCAAACGGCGACCGATCAGCGTATCATTTCCTACTCCTGCGCCGCCACCAAAGGGGCGCGCTCCTACCAAGTCAACATTCCAGCTTTCAAGCAACGACGTAGTCGCAAAGCTGAAGGCGCAGAAAGAGGAGCGACTAAAGCAAGCAGAAGGCACAGCACCAAAGGCACGGCCGATCAGCATGCCCCCTCCACCAAAGTCAAACAAACCGCTCACAAAGCCTGCCTTTCAACTGCCGGGCGAGAAAATCGCCGAGAAACTAAAAGCACAAAAAGAAGAGCGTCTGAAGAGAGAAGAAGAGCAACCTGCACCAAAACAACGTCCAACCAGCATCACCATGGCCCCCCTCGCAAAATCTACAAAAGCGCCCACAAAGCCCAAATTCGAGCTCCCAGGCTCTGTCATAGCCGAGAAACTGCGCCTCAAAAAAGAAGAACGCCTCAAGCGCATGGAAGAAGCCGAAGCAGCAAAAAAAGAAGCAGCAGCACACAAACCCCGTCCCGCACCAGTAGTATCCCGCAAACCCGTCACAATCCCCATCCGACCCTCCCCGGCCGAAGCCCCAGGCGTAACAATCGGCCCACCTCCATCTCCTCCCCAACAACAGCAACGCTCCACCTCCCTCGCCAGCAAACGAAGCAGCATGTCTCTCTCACACCCCCTCCCCCACCAATCCCGTTCCATATCCACTTCCTCCTCCAACCGCAACAGCATTCTTGTCCCCAAAGCCGTAGTCACGCCCGCGGATGCGATTCAACTGAAACTCAAGGGCAAAGAGGTATTCAATCGGGATCGTGTGGAGAAAGAAGCGAGAGAGAGGGAGAGAAGGGAAAAGGAAGAGGCGGCCAAGCGGGCGAGGGCGGAGGCTGCTGAGAGGGGACGGATTGCGAGTAGGGAGTGGGCGGAGAGGCAGAGGCGGAAGATAATGGGGGGTTCTTGATCGTTTTTTTTTTGGGGGGGGGGGGGGGTTGCTAGATGGGCTTTTCTTGAGGAGGTGGGGGTTGCCTAGGGTTGGAACTGGCAAAAGGCTGGATTTCTGCCTTGCCTGTTTTTTTTCGGATACTCACTTTTTTTCTTGGTGGGATTCTACTTCTTGTTCTTGCTCTTCTTCTTGTTTATATATATATATATATATTTTGGAAAAGGTTTTCGGGCTCCCCTTTAGGGATTGGATTTTTTATTTTTACTTACATCTCTCTACCTCTCTCTATCTTCCTATGGTTGACCAAGAAGAAGGACATACAGGCTTCATTGCCGTATTGGCGTTTGTAGGATCTTTTTTGGGGTTTTTTTTGTCTAGGTAGCTCGATGGAAAGAGTAACTTTGTGTTTCTTTGTATAACTAGTAGTTACTTCTTTTTTTTTGAGCTTGAAATTTAAAGTATTTTGGAATTTTCAAAAAAAAAAAGAGAGAGGCAATTTTCGTGTGCAGTGGAATGGCAGGAACTAATGCGTTGTGATTTTATATTGACACATGAAAATCTCGACATTTTGGGTATAGAAGTCTTGTCTTTGGGCTATTGCAATACAATAGCCTTGAAGGGGATAACATGTGCAAAGAAGCTAACTTTTATGCTAAATCTTGAAAACTCCCAGCTATAAGAAATAACGACATTGAACATGGTTCTGTTTTGGACAGTAATATTGGTAATTCTTCAACTTCATATTTTTTTTGTTCTTGAGAGTAGGAAGGGAGTTTGAATACGTGAACCGTGAAGACATCTTGAGCTTTGCTATTAATACTGATAACATGATTACTCGTGTCATTTCGTTCTCAACGACCAAACTCTGGATGAACAAAATTCCACTTTTATGAGAAATGTAGTGAATGCATTGCCATGACACATGCAGCCGTGGCGACAGAATAGATCTCAATCACAGTGGACTCACCATCCCACCTACCTCAATCCTCATTTTACGTTGAAACATTAATTCACCACCGCGCCTCGCGCCAGACCGTGCCTTCGGTGTGCTCCGTTACCACTCTTCTCCAGCCTCACCGCGATTCGCGCGATGACCATGTCTTCAATACACTCCGATGCCACGTCCTTCCCGTACTCGTATTATCCCTCCACTATACCACCCCCACAAGTCAAAGAAACCCTGCATCTCTTGCATCCTTTGGAAATTTCGTTTCAGTGTATTTTTCCTTTTTGCCACACAAGAAGGAGTCAGATAAACAGAGCTCCACAATGCAATGACTTCACAACGTGGATCCAGAAACGGGATGACAAGTACATGGAGAGAAACCAGAAAGGACTGTTGGCCGTCCGGTCAGAAGGATCAAAAAAAGTGGAAGAGTATGTAGTAGACAACAAAGTCACCGGACGTTGCAAGTAGAAGAGCCAAGGAACAAAGAGAATTTAGAAAATCCCTGCCCAATAGAATAATTTCTCTGCTGCCCAATACTTACATCATGACAACGTGTAGGGTGTAATGTATGCGAAAATGCCTCGCGCGGCATAACGTTCCGAATGGACAAACAACAAAAATGCTTGGCTGGCAACTCTTTCCTTACTTGCATTGTAACCGCTGTGCGTTTGACGCGGTAAAATATAATAAAAAGTTGGCAAAACATGTCACTACTGTTTCGGTTTGGCTGCAGCGGTGGTACTTCGGACGGTGACGATTCGCTGTGGGACACTGTGTGTGTGTAGCTGCCCAAGACAACTGTTTGGGCTTTTGGCTCAGGGTTGAGGCGCAAAGAACAAGGAACGCATGTTGTAGACACGGTCGCCTTGTCACCAAAAGTTTATGTATACCGGTGGCGGTGCGTATACAACCTGTTTGCGTTTCTCAGTGTCCACGTGGATTACCTTAGCTCCGGTACTTTTCGATGACGCTGTTCAGAAGACGAATGCACTAGAGATGGCGACGGCGTGAAGCAAAAGGTATTGGAATCTGCCTTGGCTAGCGCGAGTGATGCTTTGGGAACGAGGCGTGCGCATTGTGCCGTGACTGCCAGTTGCTCGGAACGCATTGGGTTACATGCAAACGACAGAGATCTAGCGATCTGATCGTGGACGGCGCGTGCCGTGTAGCCCTGCAGCGAACCTCTACATTGGGAAATCCTCGAGCGAGTCAGCAACATTGGCGGAGAGGCCGATTGGATTGATACTGGAAATTACTCGTGATGTAATCATGCGCTTCTACAATTCCTAATCTCGAGTCAGTAGCTGTCTTATCTCGCATTCCTTGTGACACGGCTAGCACAAGCATTTGCTTGTCGCCTAAGACGGGTAGTTATTGTGACTTGGCCATGAGAGATGGAGCCCGCCATACTGCCTGTTTATTACAAACAAGGTATGAACTAGAGTGATGGGCGGACTGTGTAGGTGAGTATGCTAGTGTACATGGTTGGGTAAAAGTGGGATCTGTGCGTGAGGGTGAAACGACAAAGTTCACAGGTCGAAGCCAGCGCGATAGGCGAGGAGACGCGATAGGTTAGATGATTTTAAATGATCGCTGCATTGCATATTGGCATTGTCAATCGCGATGACGCTTGACGCTTGCCGTGCGGGTTCCTTGCATGAGGCAAACGTGATCATCGTATGGTTTCCAAGCACTGTCACCAAGACTGATACGTCCCTTTGAGACGAACAGGTCGCGCACATACATGTACGCATCTGGACGTTTGTGCCTGCACCTAGCCACGCTCCATGCGGTTGAGTTCAATCGATCGTTCGGCTAGGCGATGGGCGTCCCCATGATTGTGGGTGATCAGCATACTGACAGGAACGGACGCATGCAAGGCCGCCGCTCGGGCCCAATTGGCGACTTTATTGTGCATGTATCTTTGTGTGTGTGTGTGTGGAGAAGAAATTGCAAATCCCTTGTGTCAATAAACACAGGGCGATGCGGAGGGCGAGACGATCGGCCAGCCGTTCGTACAGGATCGAGAATACTAGTGACTCACTTTTCCGGGCCGAACATCAGAAACTGGCAAGCAGACAACGGGCAAAGGTACCAATGACTAGGGGGCCCGAGGATGCAGGCAGCCTTTGTTGAAGAGGGAGAAATTGCTTTTGAGTCGCGGCCTGGTAGCGTGCTTTCGGCTCCTGAGAGTCTGGAAGAGGCTCAACACGCCCTGTGTGCTCGGGTTTGCCGTCGGGGACGTGATAGCCTTCTCCGGTCCGTCGCGACAGGTGGTCTTTGCTTGCGCTCAACATCCGAACAGCCTAACCCTGCGCAAGAGAGCGGCAGGCCTGGGCTAGCTCAAGACGGGACGAGATGCGAGGAGAGCAGGCAGCTTGCATGCGAGGCGGACGCAAAGTGAAAGGGTGCCGCAAGCCGTGCAAGGCTCAATGTTTTGAGGCGACCTGTTGCGGGTATCGATGTCCAAGTGCTCGGATCTCGGAATAGTTCGCCAGGCCCTTGCGGAGAGAGAGCAGGCAGGCGAGAGCAAGCGAGCAAAGGTGGACTGTGAGTGGTGTGATCGTATTTGGCACTAGCTCCATGTCACACGACGAGCGCTTGACAGTCGTCGCACCTGCGCCTCTGTCGATGACCTAACCACCGGGAGTCGCTAGGATGGAAATAAGTTACACAGTTACGTCTAAGGGAATGTGCCGTGAGCCCTCAGAGCCGTGGGGCCCGGATGGTCCACTATGATTCCCGGGGCTCGCTTGCCAAGTGGAGCCCTGGTGAGCTGGCAGCGCGCGGATGGGGGACCGAAGGAAAGTCGTCGCGGCCTTGGAGAAGAAGGAAAAAAAACTGCCTCGTTGGGGGGGGGGGGGGCATGAAGCATTTGTTTGTAGCGTAGTGTTGCAACTGAGGCCGACGATGCATGGAACAGCGATGACGATTGCGATGAAAGGCAGTGGTAGATTGGGCCGCTGGGATGACGCCGGCAATGTCACGCAATGGCGACATTTCCCCCCCTCGTGGTGACAAAGGCGGCATGACGGAGTGTGGGACGATTGCTTTTTCTCGCACGCATAGTGAGTGGCGGACTGAGGGCTGTCGGTGATGCCCATGACGATGGACGGGCCGTTCACCAAAGTGCGGAGAAGCCAAGCTACGAGGCGCCCCACCCTGTCCGGCGCATGGACCAATCACAGGGATCACAGGGGGCGTTAGCGGGCGAGTCATGACACAGGCAACGAGGAGGGAACATGGCCAACTCCTTCGCCCTTCCCAGGGGAGGGGACACGGCGCCAGAGTGGATGCTGCCCTGCTCGTTGGGAAACCCCTCTCAACAACGTCCCACCCATACCCTCCCGGCTGTCCAACTCTCGCCACCGCACCCTCACTTGCTGATGGATGCCCGTCGTCTGCCGCCTGGCTGTGGCTGGCTTCTGGATCATCGTGAGGGAAAAAAATTTCTTCCTCTACCTTGCACTCCCGCGCGGGCAGGGCCTAGCCGTGCCTCATGCCCCCAATTGTGACCCTGCACAGTCACCGTCTATGTGTGGGCTAGGGCATTGCGCGGCTACCAAAGTTTAAGCCGCTTTGTCTATGGAGAGGGAGAGGGACTAAGCCTTGCGCACCCTGTGTGTCTCACCTGTCTCATCTTGTGCTTATCTGAGTATGAGGCTATGCACTGGATGAGGTGAGGTGAGAAGAGTGCCTCATCACGTGCGGACTGAGGGGGTGGACAAGGCTCAAGTCATCAATCACTGTATAGAAGAAATGTGTATGCGTGTGTGTGTGTGTGTGTGTGTGTGTGTGTGTGTAAGACCACGAGTCTATGCCCGTGGTCGTGGCTTCCATTTGAGGAATTGCTACTACTAAGCTATGGTAGAGGTGAGGTGAGGTGAGAAAAAGCAGGCACGACCCTCATGGTCGGCTCACGCAACAGAGGATATCCAGCCGTCCCAACTACGAGCAAACCCATCGCCGGGGCTGCAAATGCTCCAGATAACACAAAACACTGGGGCTTACTCGGCCCTGCGCCCCCAGAAACACCAAGGGGGATATGGATATAAATACTTTTGATCGTACACCGCGCACCCACGTATCTTGACAAAGGAAATGGTACAGAACTAGTAGATGATGGAAAAAGGGAGAGCAGCGGTGGTGCTTATGCAGGTGAACTCCGTGGACCCATGCCAGTCCCAGGCGGGCGAGGCCATGGGACCGAATGCAAAACTGAACTTGAGGAGGGCAGTGAGAGCCCAAGGACGCAAGGGGATAAAGGCTCCACCGTCATTAATGTCGTGAGGCCAACCTCGCAATGGTGAGATTGGCAGAAGGGGCGAAGGGGCCTAGTACTGTGTGTATCTCCTCTTGACGTCTCGGGTCTGGTCAAACGACCGCACGTAGCTGCTGAGCTGCGTGGCTGCTTGTTGCGAGATGCCCGATTGAGTCCGTGATGATGATGAAGAAGAGGCGAGCGAGGAGCGTGATGATGAGGGAGTCAGGCTTCGCTGGGGTGATTGCCTGGTGGCTGTGGGTGGTGCAAAGTAGCTGCCGTTTGCGGTGGGGTAGTAGTGGTAGGGGCTCGAGGGGACTGCTTGCGAGGTGGTGGATGCCGCCTTGTACGCCGAGAAGTTGATTGCGGGGGCGAGGTAGAAGCCGCTGTTGGACGAGGAGGATGATGAGGCCGAGGATGACAATTGCGAGGGTGCTTGTGCGGTGGTGCCGGCCCTTTCGAGGTCGGCCAGGCGGCACGATTGCGAGCAGTAGACGCCGTTCTCGGCAATCTGACGGTCGCAGGAGAGGCAGAAGTCGTTGAAGCACTCCATTTGGGAAGCCATTGCGGCGGGTGATGTGGTTGTGGTTGGGGTAGTAGTGGTTGATATTATATAGAGGGCGACAGGATTGAGTCGCTGAGCAGGGTGTGGTCAGGCCGTCGGCGGGGGGGGGAACAGGCAGCAGGTTATGTAGAGGGAGCAGGTGGTATGTGTGAGAGTGGGAGTCAGAGAGGGTGGTCAGGCAAGAGAGATATAGAGCGAGGTGGAGCGGAAGAAGCGTCCGTGTGTGGAGCGGCGGCGGGAGGGAGTGGATGGGGGATATACTTAAGTTGCGCTCAGGCACACTGGCAGCACCCACACACGCATCCACACACGCACACACGCACACACACACGCAGACTACGGCTGACCCTAGTCGCCTCTCAGCAGATGGTGCCGACAGGGTCCTCGGCCATCCCTGGTCGTCTCCGCACGGGCTGACCATGCAGCCAAGCAACCAACGACGTCTGAATTTCGTTGCAAGCGCTGTAGCCTCGAGCGCTGCATGCACCCCTCACGCCCACGCCCACGCCCACGTCCCTCTTGCACTGTGCAGCCCAAACGCCGTGTGAATGCGCACTTGTATGTGGGCGTGGTGTACCACTAGCATCCCATCTACATACACACCTACATACTACACTACATGCGGATATGCACCAGAATCTTCGGCCGCGGTGTTTACTGCCATGCCCTCTGCCTGCTGACACCTCCGCTCGACTCTCGACGCTCATGCTCTCCTCTCCTCACCTCCCATGCCCACCCTCTTCTGCCCACTTTGCCCACTTTGCCCACTCTGCCCACTCTTCCACCCACTGCGTGACTGCGCAACCAGTGCTAGTCATCTGCCCCGGCTTTGCGCCTGCGCCTGCGTCTGGGCAGCAGATGACTGATGTGCAAATCTAGGAACAAGGCTTCCTATTCAAGCTCCATGCCCCTCTTCCACAACCACACTTCCTCTTATCGGTTTCAGTAGTCATGGGGCGTCGCTGCCCTCGCTCCGCCCACCGCCCACCACCCTGCATGCCCGTTGCCATCCCATCTCCCATGTCCCTCTGCTGCCGTCACACTGCCAAACTATACCATACTATATACACATAGACTACTTGCTATTCTTTCCTTCTGCTCCCGCTCGCGTAAGCTCCCCCTTGTGCCTCTCCCTCCTGGCCCCACCAGAGCCATGTCTATCGTCTATTGCGACACCGAAGACGTTATCTGTCGCCATTGACGTGCTCGATGCCGTTTGCCAATCTTAGTAGGAGAACCACTCGCCTTGTCCTGCAGCTCCCATCTCCACCTCCCCATGCACGACACACCACCCTCACAACTTTCGCCTCCGCAACGCCTCAACACTACCTTTTCTTCTCCCAATAACCCCATCCCTCGATGCTGCGAACTCTTCAGGCATGTGCCTGCAAGTGTCTCATGCCTCGCTTCGCCTCTTGCTGAGCGCCGAGCGCCTTTCTTCTCCCAATCCGTCCCCCGGCAGACTGATCTGGACTCTTGCTCAGGCCAGCCAGCCCCAATTCGGGCGTCCGGCCTCAGCGACGCCAGCCTCTATCCGTCCCAAAAACTCGTGCTCAAATATTTTCTCCCGCTGTCAATGGCTTGCGCAAACCATTCCAGAGTGTCCTCCATCCACTATGGGCACCCCCCTCCCCTCCCTCCTAGGGCAAGCGAGATAAGAACGCTCGGCCCACACAACCGCGCCCCTACCACCCCAGGCAACCAGCAACCGTCCTCCAAACCGTTCCAGCTGCCCTCGCGCCCCCCCCCCCCCAATGCCCCCTCCTGACGAATCACCAGCCTGCCCTCAACTGCAAGTCACTTGCACGCTTATATCCAACACGAGCACGAGCAGCCTGCATGCACACCTCCCCATACTATACTACATACGCGGCTAGAGACAGCCCCCACGCTCCTCCTCCTCCTCCTTCTCCTCTTTGCCCAGATGCAGACGTCCTTCGTTGCTGCAGGACCCTAGATGGCGCACGGCACAAAAGTGAACATGTTGACGCCTACACTCACTCGTCTGCAGGAACCACTCCATTCGCTCTTATCGCCACATCCACACTTATTCTAATCTGGCCCCCTTGAAACTCTGCTTATCTAGCTGTCCCTCTTGCCGTCCCGCCCGCGCGCGATTCAGCACCGCGACAATCGAGGCAGTGCTGACTATTGGACCCAAGAACACCCTTCGTTTCCTACATTGCCTTCTCCACAAACACTATGTGCGCCGTTCTGCTTGCAGCCGTGCGTGCGACATGCCTTGACATTCACTGTACTTTTGACACGCCTGTCAGCCCCAACAAACCACACAAATAACATCCCAAAACATCACCTTCAATATCCATGCATCCACATCCATTATGCACTTAGCTAATACCCAAACCTTCTCCTCTCATCGCCGATATTAGGGCTCAGGGAGATGCAGCTAGAGCATCTAGGCCTCATCTAACAACAGCCATACCCCTACCCTCCGCGCAGCCGGTCGCTTGTGTGCTCGACATGCAAGATGATGCAGGACACGACTGGCCCAATAGTTGGCGTATAGAATTCCAAACACTTTGTCCTTGGAAACAGAAACATCTGTAATAATATACTTGGGTACATACATAACACGGCCATCTTACCAATGTCCTTCACTCCCGGAGCATCGACGCCGGATACATACGCGCTGCACCCCACATCAGGCAATCCCTTTTCGTTGCAGGCAAGCGCATGCTGTGTAACTTGAGCAACAGAAGCAGTTCACTCTAGGTCTGCTCCGAGCATCAATTCAGCACGGAGCGCAAACCCTGAGGCGCGCATTGCTGTTGAGCAGCCTCGTTCTCTGTGCTCGCTTGATCCCTGATGGTCATCTCCCGGGTTTGGAACTACCCCGAAACATCGGCCCGTTTGCTGGGGCGGGTGGATTGATAGTGGGTTCTCTTTTCAACGGCTATCCTTCCCACTCGCCTCTGTTGGCGACGAGAGGGCCCTACGGGTAGAATCGGAGATATGCCGCAATGATTTTTTTTCTCAGGGTCCTAATGGCATTCTACGATACACCATACCCGCCTGATCAAGCGCAGAATCGGACCGCCTGTTTGACTTTGCGATAACTCAAATCATTGTTCGTATCAAGGGTTAATGGATTAGTGGTGGCGTTATTGTTAGGATATTTACAATCAACCATGCCTGACATGTATCTTGCTCATCGTAGCATGTAGGGTTTCTGTCTCTTGTATCTGTTGACAAAGATTGAGCTTCACAGTGCAAAAGAAAGACTTTTTTTCACTCTCAGAATGTTCAAGTCACGCCAGCCTCGCTTACTATGCGCTTGCAAAGTAGCTTCTAACACACCCATCACCTCATCTGAACAAACCCATTGAAACCAATTGTCTAAACACCGCCGGTAGTAGCAATTTTGCAATACGTATCACATAGTGGACATTTTATTGACCCCCGCGAATTTACCCCCGCAATGGCCTATACCGCAGAGCTCCGACTCGCCCTGCGCGCCGTCCACCGTGCATCCGTCCTCACCAAGTCGGTGCTCCGGAACCTCTCCAACAACGTGTCTGCTGAGACCAAAGCAGACGACAGTCCCGTCACGATTGCAGACTTTGCCGCACAAGCACTCCTCATCTCCGCACTTCATGCCGTGTATCCTCACGACGCCTTTCTGGGCGAGGAGAGCGCAGATGCACTGCGCCAAAACGAGGCCCTAGCTGACAGGGTATGGCAACTTGTGCAACAGGCAAAAGAGGAGGCTGATGCGCGTCTGGATGCAAACGGCAAAGATGAGGAGGCAACTGCGAGTACTGCTGCTGCGCACGACCTGAAGGAGGACCCAGTGCTAGCGTTTCCCGCATCCAAGGACGACATGTTCGATCTGATTGACCGGGGCGGCAACGGCCAAGTCACGGGATCAGGACGTGTCTGGGTTATGGATCCCGTCGATGGTACCGCAACGTTTATGCGGGGCCAGCAGTACGCCGTTTGTCTGTGTTTGCTTGTCGATGGCGTACAGCAAGTGGGCGTGATTGCGTGTCCGAACCTCGCATTCCCCCTGCAAGGCACGCTGGGCTCGATACGCATCAACGAAGACGACGTCGACAGCGACGGCTATGGCGTGGTTCTTTCCGCCGTCAAGGGTCAAGGCACGTTTTTGCGTACCATGGAAGCCAGCGGTCCTGGAGCCCACGCCCGACATGTGGACCTGACTACGCTACCGTCCAAGCAGACGTCTGATCTAAACTTTGTCGAGGCCACGATTGGCAAGACATCGCTCTCGCAGACTGAACACGAAGCCGTTGCCACTGCCCTCGGCGCAAGCTGGCCAGGTACCGTGCTCTGGTCCCAGCAGATGAAATACGTGGCTCTCACCCTCGGCGCAACAGACGTCATGGTGCGCATCCCAAAGACGCTCGACCGCTTCACTTGCATTTGGGACCACGCCGGCGGCCACTTGCTCTTCCAGGAGGCCGGCGGCATCATTAGCGACTTCCGCGGCGAGCAGATTGACTTTTCCGCTGGCCGCAAGATCAAAGGTGAGCGCAATTGGGGCATGATTGCATGCATGCCGGCGGTGTTTGACCAGGTCGGTACCGCCGTCAAGCACGTATTGAACCAGCGGGACGGCGAGAAGAGCTAGAAGCCAACGAACCGTTCTTTCTATTCCACCCCATCATACCCTAATAAAAGCAAAAAAGGGTTACTAGCCGCCCCGTACATGTGCATGTGTGTTACCCATTGCCACTATGCAAATGGACAATGGCAATGTAGCATCGCCTTCTTTTTTTTCCTGTCCGTTTGAACCACATGCCCAAATCATCCTCACCCAAACATGCCTCAATCATGCCATTTTTTCTCTCCTCCTGTATCCTCCCGCTATTTACCACATCAGCCCCCTCCAACCCCCTCTCCGCTACCTAAAATATAAAAAAACCGGGGCATATTATACAAACGCATGACGATCATGATCCCCACCACAAACTCTCTTTCCCCCATCCCCTTCTCTCATTGCACTGTCGACATGGCCCCCCCCCTCCACCCCCACTTTCCTCTCCTCAACATACACACACGCACACAAACAGCAAACTTGCCAGCACCCCCCCATCAATCCACTCTAACCCAGTTTCTCGCACTGGCTGGCTGAGTCCCCCAGTTTATTTCTGTACAGAGTTCTCTTTTCAGGACGAAAAAAGAGGAGAATGCTTCCAAGCTGAAGTTGCAAAACCGCCGCCAGCGAGTTAGAAACGAACAAGTCGTCTCGCTTCGGGCCCCCGTCACATAGCTGAGCTATCCAATCATGAGGGTGGGTTGGTGACAGGTGTACATACAATTTATCTTATTTGGGCTTTCTGTCTTGTTTTTCGGTGGTGGTTGGGCAGCACAAGGCAGAGGCGGGGAGGGGGGGGGGAATGTGTTTGTTGGCGGATATTTTATGGGGTCGGGGATGCGTTTTCAATGTACACATGTATGTGGGAACAACTGTTTGTTCCGGTGAAGAAAAAGAAAAGGGGGTGTGGTGATGGATACGTAGACCTAGTAGGTCATGTGTTTTGCATCTTCTATACAAAGACAAAGTGGAGAGATCAAGAAAAGGAGTGAATACGTTGTTGACAGACAGACAGACAGACGTGGCATACCTTTACAACGAGATGCAAGTTCTTTTTTTCTTTCTGGGCGACTTGCATAGTCACCACGATGTGCTGTGCTGTGCTGTGCTGTGTGCACAAAACCCATAACCTACAGAGTTTCTAATCGTGTACCAACATAACAACGCCATTTATGCGTTAGGGGAAATGCAAAGATGCGTATGGCCCTGTATTTCTTCTTCTCCATAACCACGCGGTGAGACATTTGATCTGCTTGCACTTGTGCTGTGCAAAAATATATGCGGGGGGTCAAGAAAGTTAGTATAGGATAACTAAAGTGACACTAATGCTAAGATATGGAAAAGCTTTCGGGGTCCGAGGGATAATTTGGTCTAGGAATAAAAATCATAACTTAGTGCAGATCACGACATAGTGCAAAACAAAGAAGTAAACTTCTGCACGCTACGAGTCGAACACCAGAAAGAGGATCATATCGAACGAGGTTTCATTTGGGCAAATGAGAGAGAAGAGAGAAAGAGGGGTAAAAAAAGGGAGCACACAATAGCATCTTGTGATGCGGTGGAACCCTGGAACTTTCGCTATTCGTTGGGGGGAAACACATGAATCATGGCCTTACTACTAGTTGGGGGAAATGCTTTGTACAACGAACGCATTTTATGATCTGCGTTTTCAGTCTTTCCAACCACCCCACTCCGTCGTCGTCGCTCGTTGGTACAACCATTCATTTTCCGTCTATGCTGCACCACCTCCGTTTTTCCGGAATGACACCTTCTCCACTGCGACGTTCTCATTGCCTTCGGCGTCCTTGCGGAGTTGGTAGACGTACAGGACGAGCACGTCACCTTGCACCTGTTGCGCGCACACACCCCCTGGTTAGCCTCGTGCTTTCTCATTTGCTCCACACTAACCCCATCACATCATGTGTTTGGATGTGTGTGACAGGTTGATGTTCGCGGGGTAAAAAGGTAAAAGAAGAAAAAAGACTCACGTCCATGAGGACAAAGCTCGGCGTGGGATCTTCGTCCTCGGGCCACCAACCCGTCGACATGGCGCCCGTTGCGCTCCCAGGGTTCACAAAAAACTTGCCCTCCATCTCATATGCCTCAAACTTGTGCGTCCCACCCCACAAGAGTACGTCGACGTCCATCTGGCGCGCCGCTATCAGCAGACTGTCGCCATCGCCCGGTGGTATGATGGTGTGGCCGTGCGTGAAGCCTATGCGCAGACTGCCGTGTGTGACTACTTTTGACAGGGCGAGATTCGGCGCTTCCACGTCAAAGTCGCCTTTTACAATCTGCAGATCGGGCGCAATCCCGCGCAGGAATTCGTACGTCTCGCGGTCGGTTATGTTGCCTAAGCAGAGGATTTGGCCGATCTTGCCGGGCGCGAGGAGCTTCTTGAACTGCGGGGTGGTGTGAGCCCATGCGCCTTCTGTGTTTACGTTGGAGCATCCAATCGGTAGTGCAAAGGGAATATCAACAATTGTACCTTTGCTGGTATATCCTAAGTCGCCTGTGAGTCTGTGAGGTTCGAGCAATACATGTGTGGCTTGGGAGACATACCGAAGCGCGGTCTGGTATGAAGAGGTCGCCTAGGACCAGCACCAGTCGCGAAGCCATTGCTGGGGCGCGTTTATGTCTGTGGCCGCTCAGATCAAGTGGCAGGTGTTACAAAGACTATATATACTACTTGCAGCGCTCGTGCAAGTGTGAGGCGCCGAAGTCGAGAGTTGGCGCGGAGATGTCGCGCGAAGCTGGATGTGGGAGTTTGGGGAAGCTATGCTGTCACTGGGCGGGCCCGAGTGGCAGAACGTCGCGCTTGGCAGGGACGCCTTGATGTGGGTCGAGAATACGAGCATATCTTCACTTTGTTGAATGTTTGACACTTTACCGTTTGATCGCATCGTAAGCAAAGCCACCATTAAAGCATCTTCGGAGCAACATCACAGAACCAGGTTTGCGATCAAAGTCCCATGCGGACATCTTCACAATGCTTCGCAATGTAGTCTAGCAATACAACTATTATTGTACGCTCTACCTGACGGAAAGCAAGTTGGCTATGAGAATGTTATTGTATGAAACAACCACATATATGGTAGATTTAACCTCTAGGCTTCGTTTGATTAGACACATGAGTATATCAAAGCTGAAGTGAGGTCGAGTGAAAACGGAAGAGAAAAGAGTTATAGTAATAGCATACGAGGCTGGGTACGATTCTCGGTCAGCAGAAATCAGTTTACAGATCTGTTCAGTTACTGGGGGTGGTTTTTGACCTACTAGTGTTATAAGAGCAGGAAGATGGGTATCTCTCCGTATCTCGGGAATCCACTTCATAGATTGCTTACCTGCCTTATTAACATATCTTGCGCCTCGTGGCATACTGTATTATGGCCGCACTAGCGAAAAAATGCAATCGAACAATTCCTAAAGATGAATTGGGACTCAGTTTATGTAAGAAATTCTAAACTTATCGTAATTCAGAAAGTAGATTATGTATTAGAACATAATCCAAGAACGAATGCACTGGCTATATTGTGACCATGTTTTTACAGTGTCAGTAGTAGATGTTGCGATTGCGATTCAGAGGCGTAGGTATGGAGTGAATTCGTACTGGTTTAGCAAGAGCCGCAGTCGTAACCAAAGAACCAAGTTTGTAGCAGCAATACCGAATTAGCAAAACTCATTGCAGCTTTGTCTGCATACTTACGATCAGTCCCTAGAAACGCTCACATGCAAGAAGAAGTAGGACGTGATCAGCTTGAAGAAACCTCTTCTCTCATTGGCTACAGCTTTGCTAAGATATTAGGAGTCTCCATCTTCAGATAGCGCCCAGTCACGTTATAAACACCAGAATCTCCACCATATCACTTATAGCAGCTGGCTAAATCAGTATTGGGCAACTAGAGCAGCCAGAGAAGCGGGCACCTACAGCAGTGGCTAGATAGAGAAGTTCAAGCTACATATTGCGTAGTCGGTGAGTGGCTATGTAGATTTTCCAAGACTACTAAGCTCTTGTCTTGTGCCCAGCTCTTCATAGAAAAATTCTACCCTACCTTGGCGGGGAGGCACTATCGGCAGCGCCATAATCAAGAAATCTGTTAAAAAGAACGACAAACTGCCTATTCCCAATCATGGAATTATTCGCAGTATCTCTTCAAATTCATTTTGTACCAGTTTACCGCTTTACAATCCGCGTTTTTTTTGCCCGCCTTCTGCTCGTTCTTCGATACAACCAAACAATCACAACTCCGCATACCATCTCAAAGTCATAATGATGTCAAAAGAACATGACAGTGCAATAAATGCGACGCTACAGATTATCTTTGGGGTTGCCAGTATCCTTAGTATGATTGTTGCCTTACTCGGTCTATATCATCAAGACGCTCTCGTATTTGTGCTGTATCGCCGACTGAGAAATGATCGGACAGAAAGCATGGCTCCCTACTACTGTCACATAATCTACGTATTTACTAAATGTGGTAGCTGTATATGGAATAGACGATGAAATTGCCTCTTCTGATAGCACCATCGGCAACCAAGGAATGACAATATCGAAAGACCCAGAACAATCACCACCTTCATCGCACACTCACACAGCTCCGCCATCGTCTTGTGGATTGAATTCTTCGACAAGCTCGAATGCCGATATGCGACCTTACAATACAATGGCTAGGACAAGGCCGATAGAGTCGGCAAACTTTCGACCGCATGTAACAATAATGTAGACTATTGTGGAAGACTGATTGTAGACGACAGTGGTTGACGTGTATGATCCAGTTGACAGGAGTTTGTCTTATTGTCACGGACGAAAAGCGTACACTAGCCCATTCTTATGGGGGTTCTCTTTCTTTCGTAGAGCTAAATAATCTCGTCGCATAACCGCGCAACAACTCTACCTATTATGTGGAAAATGCATTAGACACTAATATACACCTTTCCCTACTCCTTCTTCTTCTCAGCATCTTCATACCAACCAAGCAGATGCGCGACATATTCCCCTACGAGACCCAGACTGATGGCACCTCCTGTGAACCACGCGCCGTTGACGAACCACCACCAGCAATTCTTGACCTCCTTCAGCTTGACTCGGCGAATCATAGTGCCTAGTGTGAGGGCTGCACCACCAACTGAGCCAACGAAAAATATTGGCCCAAGCCCTGCTGCGGCTCCCATGGCGGATAACAGACCAAGCTGAACAACAGCGAGGCCCGAGAGTACCTGCTTCGTTTCCTTCTCATGCTTGAGCGCGATGCTCTTAATGCCAGCCTTGACATCGTCTTTGATATCCATATGGGCATATATCATATCGTATAGAATAGTCCATGCAACATTGCTGGCATATAGACATGTAGCCGCAATCAACGCCGCTTGGTTCGTAAGTAAATCGACGCCCAGCGCAGGAAATCCCATCATGGCACCCCAGGAGAACGTAAGGCCCAAGACGAACTGTGGATAATACGTGACTCGCTTTGCCAAAGGATAGAGTGTAACGAACATAAGTGACGGCGTAGCGTACCAGAAACATTCAGCTGGAAAAGAAAGAAGTACAGCAAGACCGGTCGTAAGCTGCCCACCAAGGAAGACGAGAGCTTGCAGAGGAGTAATGGCTCGCCTAGCAATTGGTCGTAATCTTGTTCGTTCAACGTGTGGATCGAGGTTCCGGTCCCAGAGATCGTTGATAGTACATCCGGCTCCTCTCATGACGAGTGCACCGGTGAAGAAGAGGGCTGTCGTTCCTAGGACTGCGGAAGGCGTGGCAACAGGTATGGCCATGGTGGCAGCGAGGAGTGTGCTGAACATGCACGGAAAGAAGAGATAGTAGGTCCCGGTAGGTTTGTCTAGTCTCATCAATTCGCCATACGGGACGAATTTCTGTGGCAGATACGACAAAACACCGGTAGTTGGTGGCACATAGCTTGGAAGTGTTTTTGATGGCGCATCTTGTGACGCTGTTGCCGTTGCGACTCCGAAGCTGGGCTGTAGTGACCTTGGATGTATGGACTTGATGAGTTGAGTAAGTTGTGGTCGTTGTGCGGTGCGCAGCAGGGGTGCCGAGGAGTGATTTCGTCCCAATTGCGATGCGAATCCATTGGTGTAATGGAGCTGTGATTTGAAAGCTCTACCAGCGTATTGCCGATACAATGCTGGTGGCTGTGCACTACACAGTTTTAAAAACGTCATAGCGGATAGGTCACGACGGCATCTACTGTCTTCTTGTCGGTACACGCAGGGAATTGAATTGTGCTGTTTGTTGAACACGTGTGCGCATTGACGTTATCAGTAGGTCATGTCCATTATAAAATATGCAATTTTCGGGGTAACGGTGAAGGTCGAACTTTGATAGGCCCACTCAGTTAATGCTCGATGAGGGTTGGTTGGTGAGGGCGAGTGCGAAAGGCTAGTTCGCGCTAATTCCCGTGGACACGTGATTGCTCGTCAAGTCGCGACAGGCGTCTCGCGACCATATCTTCTAAACTTATTTCCTTGCCTTTAAGCCGACATGAGGCGCCTTTCCTTAGATACTTGCTCTTGAAACTCTTGCGATCATGGTCGCTTGTAACAACTGATTCAGCTCAAATTCCCGTGTTTTGCAATTCCGACTGTGCCGCAAAAGCGACTGCTGTTCTCACGTACTACCACCCCACTGATTTCGCGACTGGATTCCTGGATGCCAGCGAACGGCTGCAACAATGCCAGCTGCGCGCCCCCGGGCTTCTTTCGAACCCATCCCACCCGACTTTGACGTGCGCACCTTTGTAGAGAATGCCGACAATTTTCAATATGTCGACCGCATATCGTATGAAATGATTGCGACCAACGGTATAGAAGCATTTGAGAAACTCGTCCTGTTGCATGTAATCATAGGTGGTAAACCTCTTGTCATCGACGGATTCGATGAGATACTGGATCCCTGGACCTTTACGCCTTCATGGCTGCGCGACAACCATGGCAACAAAGGTACGCAGACTACGTTGCGACAGCCATAAGCGCATAGCTAACAGAAACATAGTGGAGAGCGCACGCAATCTCATGACGCAAGAAAACATTCCTCTCACTATCAAGCATTACCTCAAGCACATGCCCAAGTTGACTGAGCAATTCTTCGACGAGCCCGACCGATACAGAGACAAAAAGAGACAACGGATATACCTGAAGGACATAGATTGCCCGCAGGTATGGCACGACAAACTCAAAGAGCATATTCCTACTGGATTGTTCTACCTGAACGAGAGCACAGGCGATATAAACGGGCCTGGCGCACCGTATGAGTTTGGGGTGCGCAAAGGTCGTGGCATTGGAAGAGCCGGAGACCTCATGAGCAGTCTGCCACCTGAAATGCGCGCAGAGAATCTCATGTGTTATATTGGGCATGAAGGCACTTACACACCTTCACATCGGGAGATGTGTGCGTCACTCGGCCAGAACATCATGGTGAGTGCTTCCACCACCATTGGCGAAGACGGCAAGCAAGAGCGTCCCGGTTCATCCATCTGGTTCATGACAGAGAGCAAAGACCGCCATGTTGTCTCAGAATATTGGCTGTCAATACTGGGCCACGATATTGAGGTTGAGAACCATTTTGCACAGCTCATCGCCTGGAAGAAGGCGCCATTTCGGACTTATGTCGTAGAGCAGCGTCCTGGAGATTTTATCCTGATCCCGCCACTGGCACCTCACCAAGTCTGGAACCGTGGCACTCGTACCATGAAAATTGCCTGGAATCGCACAACTGTGGAGACTCTAGAACTTGCTCTGAGCGAGGCGCTACCCAACTCGCGTATCGTCTGCCGTGATGAACAATATAAGAACAAGGCCATTGTATACTATACCCTCCTCAAGTACTCAAACCTGATCAAAATTGCTAGCGCCCAGATCCAGGCAGGCGGCGAGCAAGCTGAAGCGATTCGACGCTCCAGCAAGGTAAAGCAGATTCAAAAGGATTTCAAACGACTCTTTGACCTGTACAAGAAAATCCTTCTCTCAGAAATATTTGCGCCTGACTCACGAGAACACCCAGAGTTCCTAGCATATGACAGCAGTGTCACATGTTCGTATTGCAGGTGCAACATTTTCAACCGCTTTTTGAGCTGCAAGTCTTGCAAGAACATGTTCAGTTCTGAGATCGAGGAGCCCTATGATGTTTGCATGGATTGTTACTGCATGGGCCGAAGCTGTGGTTGCCAATCGGGCTACACATGGGTCGAGCAGTGGAAATGGAAGGACCTCATTCACAAGTATGAAGAATGGCGTGCTCAAATCATCAACATCGATGGCCATGTGAACGAAAAGACGCCACTCCCACTGCAAGAAGAACGAAGGTATTTCGGCAAGAAGACCCTAGCCCAGGTCTGCCAGGAGCAATTGCGGATCCGCCCATTTGTCGACCTTACAAACCCGCAGCCAGAAAGTGTATCCGATGACGAGGAACCTGTTGTGGACGAATACGGCAATGTCAAAAAGGTCACGAACAGAAAGTCAAAACAATGGCTGGCAAAACATAAATCGTGCCACTTCTGCCTTCATCGACATCCAAAGTGGAAAATGGCATTTTGCTCCAGCTGCGATCTGGCATATTGCTACGGAACGCTATTCCGTGCACACGATATGATGCCAGTAGGTGTCATGGAGGCCTACAATTGGAAATGCCCACATTGCTTGAGGGTCTGTAACACGGGCGCTTGCCGGCGCGATCCCCGGCAGCACCCCTATGAACCAAAAGGAACTCTGCTCGGTCATGATACCAAGAAGGTGGCCGATGTACGCTCCGTAGAATGCCTTGTCGATTTTAGCGTCTCCAATCTCAACTGGTTACGAGAAGAGGATGGCATGGCCCAGAACGCGATGCAACGCCGAATGCAGCAAGCCGAGATGGACAAGTTGATAGATCCTTCACTCGATGCGCGATTTATTGATGAAGACGAACGTGCCAATACAAGATACGGAATCACTTACTCCCCCGTTGAGGATAATGACGGCGGCCTTGCCAGCACATCTCAAATCCATGATGCCAACGGAGACTTGTACTACCCCGAACCTAGCATGGATGGTGAGATCCCGCGTCTTGGTCAAAAACGCACCCGCGATGGACACGACGATGTAGAGGATCGTCGACGGAAGAAAACAAAAGCCAGGGAACAGAAAAAAGACGAGTTGCAATCGCTGCAGCCAAGGAGTGTGCCTGGAAAACAATATCAGAAGGAAGTGCAGAAGAAGCTACTCGAAGATGCCAAACGTGAAGACAGGCTCATCTTAGTTACCGCTAGGATGAAAGGTAAATCGAAGATTGTCAAACTGTCTTTAGCAATGGGCCTTCTCGACAGAATCCGCCAAAGCCCGGTCTCAGAACGTACACAAGTCGTACGCGAGAGTACTCCTGAAGAATTGGATACGCCGCATGACATGCAGTCGATATTACAATCGGATGTAATGCAACAGTCTGGTGCCGTGGCAGAAAAGGGGAAAGAAGCAAAGACATATCGTGTTCGCGTAGAGGATGATGGGACATACTCGGCACGGAAGCGCAACCCAGAGATCAGCGGCCCTGCAAAGCCTGGTAGGCCTCGAGGTCCCAGACGATTCGAAGAATTTACGCTGGATTCCGATGAGGAGTTTGCTGATGAAGAAGGGACGGAATATGTCAGTCAACCTCGTAGCCGTAAGTCTACATGGCTAGCACGGAGAACTGAAGGTGATGAGGATCTACCAACTGAGCTACCTCCAAACTTCAGGGACGGCACTGTAAGACCCGGCCGCGAAAAAGACAGGGAACGGAACCGAATGTACAAGGAACGGCGACAGAATATGGCCGCACAAGAGACGGCTAGCATCCGACCCAGTGGAAAACCCACTGCAAACCTACATCAGGAAAGCGCGGACGATATTTCTGGGAACGCTTCCGATGAAGATGGTATCCACGAAGAAGATACCGAGGCCAGTGATGCAGTTATGCTCGCACAGCAGGCCACGGCCGCTGCCACTGCCTTAGAACTCCGGCGCAGAGTGGATGAGACCACGGCGCGCGCAGAAGCTGCAACAGAAGCCGCAGAAGAAGCGGCTGAAGCAACGGAAGCTGTAGCACTTGATGCTACAGAGAATCTCCGCGCAGAGACGGCCCTATTTCCCCACTCGGACGATGATAATCAAATCATGGACAGTTTTTCTGGTGATATACCTGCCGAAGGTGAGCCCTCTGAAGACGAAGCAGAACCTGAAACCAGTGTCCCAGAGCCCGTCCGAAACGGTCCTCCTCAGCATACCAACTCGATTCTGAGTGGCCTCAATGGGAAGAAGATCAAGATTGTTGGATCATCTAATCGCAGCGGCAATGGGCCTACCAATGTTACTGCCCCACAATCACAATTTACTCCCGTGAACAAGAAGGCTCAGCCAATCAACATATCAGACACGGAAAGTGAAGACGAGGTTCCTGCGACTGCTCCCGCCCCCAAAAGACCTGTTGGCAGACCGCCGGGCCGTCCTGCAATGAAACCTACAAGAGGCTTAGGTTATAGTACTCGAGGACGGGGACGACCCAGAGGACGACCGAGGAAAACGACATAGCATGTCAATTGCTGATCTTTTGTGATTGCATTGGCGAGGAGTGATATTATGTTTCTATATCTCTGAGCGAGTTTTGTTCAGTAATGCGTTATCAGATGGAGCCTGTTTCGAGACGACTGACCATGAATGATGGTGGATAGGCGGGCATTGTGCGTGTCTTTGACACGTTCTATCGAAAGAGCAAGCTGAAGAACTTGCCTTTGGGAGCAGGAATATTCGATGCTTATTCGATCATAGATTTGAGAAAGTAGTCCACACTAGATTTCCAACTATGTATAAACAACCTCTTTAATGTGTGATCAAACTCAGCTTTTCTTGATGCTAGTGTTCGAGTAACCATCTGTAATGTCCGAAAAAGATACACCAGCAACTGATGGCTCGTATGCTTGGCTGACACGTGATCTCGCGTCAGCGTTCGAAACGCGTCCTTCCATTTCTGTCTCTTTGTCTGCACAACTTCAACGCAACAAATCTGCTCACAATGTCTTCACTTCATGTTAAAAAAATCAATCTCACGTCATTTCACAATGTTCTTGCTTGCTACCCCGCGATAGCTCCAGAGAAGCTGCGCGACCTAGATGCGCAGCGCTACGATGTCATTCCATCGGCCGTGTCCAGCAGGAACGGAAGCAACAAATATCTCACGAAACCAGAGGTCGAGAAGCTTGTAGAGTGGAAACTGTTTGTCTTTCTATCCCAACTTCCCATACGCCACTGCTAATGCTCGTATGCAGAAAACATGGCACATTCCGACCTGCACTACTGGGTCTCGTGCAAAGCAATACTTCACAAG